GACCAATGACAAGGTAGGAAAATTTGTGGGTCCCTTGTAATGTATTTCTTAAATGAAAAAAGTTTTTTTTTTGGGGGGGGGGGGGTATGATAATTAATTGATTTTATGTTGTTTTACGCCCCGTTCGAGAATTTTTCACTCAAATAGAGACGACACCAAATACCGGTGAAGGGCTTCAAATTTAGACCTTTTCTCGGCACTCAGGACCATTGAGCAGTGAGGGTTCTTTATCATGCCAACGCCTATTGTGACACGGGGCCTCGGTTTTTAAGGTCTCATCCAAAGGACCCGCAACTTTCACTTCAAAGTGCCGAGCGCTTGGCGAAATAACAGTTGCTACCTATTTTTTATCGACATAGGTCAATTTGCCACTCAAAAAAGTTCGAAATTTGGATGAACAGTAGCTAATATAAACATAGGGAAAAAATCTGAATGTACAGATTCATGTAAAATAGGGCAAGGTAAATATATTCTTTAATTCAGTTTAGTATGGCTTCTTACGAGTGACAAAATATTTCGAAAAACCTAGTTGAAATTTTAGGACATCTGCAAAAACGTTCGTACCAAATGGTTTTGAAACCGGAAGAATTGGTTCCAAATTAAGTCTTCTAAATATTATAATAAGGGTTATTGGATATGCAGTTATAACACGAAATCTTTGATCTCTGCTATATGTGTAAATATTTTATAAACCATGTTGATTAATGAAGTCTGCCATTTTTCAGATGAATAGCAAATTGACAGGTGAAATCTATTCCCGTAGTTAAGGTTCTGTCCTACATCACGGTTCTTTTGACAAGGGCACATTAAAGAGAATGACTTACCACAATCGAACACGTACATTGCACATTTATGTCAGTACAATTAATATATTAATTTTGAGAATGATAAAACTAACCCGTTTCTTGTTTGTGGTAAATAATTATATGAATTTGTTTCGAAAATGTTTACGATTTCAATTTAAACATGCACAGAAATATTTAAATTAATTGCATATTAAAATTATCATATGCATTCACCCTTCTTAAAGTTTGCATTATTTTGCAAGACGAAATCATAATTTAGAAAATGGAATACCGTGGTATATCTACCTTTTTTGGTAAGAGGATTCCAAAACATTTTTTCATAGTGTAAGCCCTCTATACACTTACTTAGATGTTCTACATAAACTTTTCTGATCTCTTAAAAGGATGACTGCACTTAACGCCTGTTTTTGGGTCTTTTTCGGTTGGTTCTGTTGCTTTTATATCTAAACTTTATTTCACTTTTGTATGTTTATGAAAGAATCCTGTCAATTTGGAACCAAATTTAAATCTTAAAATGATTTTAGACTGTGATACAATAAAATGATTCAATGTTTTTTGTCCTTAGTGCTTTCAAAATATAGTGAATTTACACTTACCTGCCCTTGAATGAACATTAGATATGCATAAGAGGTGGAGCTAACATTGTAAATATGGGTCTAAAATTAGACTTGATAAATAACAATTACATGTTTGAAAAAAAGAATGTGGTCACTCTTTCCAATCTCCCTCTCCATTATGTATGGCACAAATACACTTCTGACAAAGGTTTCAATACGAAGCTAACAATATGAGCACGTCAATGTAATTAAAGCAGATTGTATATCCATGCCAGATGACTTAACGTATTCGAACACAATGTCCTAGTTAGCACAAAACATGCTACCTTACAAGTCACGTGACGGAATTTAGTATTCACAGAGTTACCTGAGGTAGGACATCACGTGGTGAATTATAATATTCAACATGTCGCAATCCTTGTTTACAACACAGAGAGCGAATGTAAGAAGAAGCAGTTTTTTCTCTTTTTAACCATGAGCGCATGTTTGTCTATTAATCTCCTTTTGACACATTATTATTTATGCAAATATACAACTATTGTGAAACGGAGAACAATAGACAAACATGCGCTGACTACGTATAAAGTCAGTAAAAAAGTGGGCGTCCTCATTATCGTACGGAGATTCAAGAAATTGTGATGACCCCTGCCTTTGAAAACAGATTCGAACTTCGTAAACACACACTTTTATTAAACGTAATTACATAAAGTTGTAGATTGGATGTTGGCCATTCTTGCAATGAAAAGAAAAATGCTTGTTTTGAAAGTTTATTTTGTCGCAGATTTCGCATATCCTTAAGTGCAGTCATCCTTTATGTTCAATTTTGGATATAACTTTTCCTACTTAATCACAATTAGAAACATTTTTTATGCTTAAGGACAGATGATACAAACAAAAAAATTTGAAAATTTGAAAATAACAACTTGGGTCCTGTTTATATAAGTAAAATGAACAAGTTTAACCGCATAGTTTTTAATTTTTCATTCAAAATAATGGGATTTCAAGTTATAGAAATTTGTATAGATAAATAAGGATGGTTTCAGAAAGGTAGAATTTTGAACGTCAGGGAAGGTTTACTATTTTAGAAATTTATTATTTGCATCATTTACAACAAGAATAGGCCCAAAAATATATATACCACTCCAGGCATCCATTTTTTGTTTGTATCATCTGTCCCATGCATCTTCGCTAGCCACGGGTTTCTGATACGCTACTCTCCTCATAAACCCTTGGCATACGGTGCTGACAAAAGACGGGATTTTTTCGTCAAGTGATCACGATTCTTACCAGGTACGCACAGATTGCGTCATCGACAGAAATAAAAAGCGTATTTAAAAAATAATGTTTTAAAGAATAATTAACAAGAAGGTATTGAGTTATGTTAATTTGTTATTTAAACATGTTTTAAAAATGCAAATCTACATCTTCAGTATTGATTCTTAATCACATATTTTGCAACGTAGCTTAAGATATTGGATGACACCATATAGCTATTCATAGAATGGCACGGATCGTTGTTTACTTGCGTTTTTTCATTCCCGATATTAAAGAGTCAAGATATATCCCGAACGCAATATCGTCATTTACAAAAACAATTGCTGATTGGTCGAACGATGTCGATCAACTCCAATCACAACTTGAGAAAAAAAATCCCAACTTTTTTAACACCGTATGCCAAGGGCTTATGAGGAGAGTAGCGTATCAGAAACCCTTGGCTAGCGATGATGCATCTGTCCCTTTAAAAGGTAATGAAGAACATGTAGAAGTGACTCATAAAGTTACATTTTTTGTTGATGACACTATTGTCCTCTTGAAGACTTAAAATGCAACCCACAATTTAAACACTTAATATGATTAATATTGAAATAAATTGACTGATTTATATTCAAATAAAATTAAATAAGTTTAATAAATAATTTTCTGGTAAGTAGTCTTTTCTTTCAGAGGAACGATTCTTAATGAGTGTTAAAGGATCACTTCTAAGTAAATATATGCGTTGACCTATAAGGCCGATATTGGTTTCAGTCTTTAGAAAAAGCTTATCGATATCCGTTCCGGTCGATGACTTTAGGCCGCATGCGTGTAGTTTCTTGTTTCTCATGTATCGCTTTAGTTGTAGTCAACTGTGTGTTCATCTGACCCTACCTCGGTATTTACAGATACATTTTTTGTATGAGGGTTTTTACTTGATGCCTGGGTGAAGGCAACGGGACATAAAAACTTATCTGACCTTACCACATTCTTTTCTAATCTGTAAACCTTCCTCCTGCATTTTTGACATAACATGTCGCCAATGCACAGTTTTCACGAGGAATGAACTGCATCTTCTCTGCATAGCGCAGTATCTCTACCACTGGCACAACAGTACTATTACAGATTTGAAAAATTTAGACAAATATACGATAGAAAACAACTAAAGAACATTGATTTTTAAATGTGACTTTTTCCGGAAAATTTTTCTCGCCTATAGGTCAAATCTTTTGTTATAACGAATACATCCTTTATAAAATTCCTAGCTCTATAATACATGTAAATAAACTATTTATTATTTTACCAAAAATAATGTATTTGATATTTTGTCTTTCTCTGCTATGTGAAATGTACTTGAATTTCACATGTTTTATTGGAACCATTTTGTCTGTTGTAATAATATGATTAATAAAATAATATTATACAATTATATACATTACGACACATTATCGCCATTTTAAATAACAGTAAGATACCAACAGATTAAAGTCGATACGTCCAAAGAATGAAATAGAATGGGATCTGAATTTATTTTATAATAAACACTCAGAGCATTTAGCACAGTTACAAGTACAAAATTTACAACACAGCTAAGTACTAGACATTTGACAATGAAGTAGCAATCTATTTCTATTCATTAAAAATCAGATATCTTTATCAAATGCATACAATTATCTAAACTCTAGCCCCTCTTTACCATTCGATTTTGTACTTTTCGTACCTTTTTAAAAATAAGAATGGTATGTTATACACCTATTCACTGGCTGTGAGTTGAAAAAATTTTTTTTTAATCAAACTGATGACAGGAATTATTCCCAGAGGGCTTGCCCGAGGGTACTAGTTCCTGTCAATAGTTTGATGAAAGAACTATCCCACTCACAGCCAGTGGATAAGCGTTTTATCATACTGGTATACAATTTCTGAGGGTGGAATAGCACATTTTATACCCTGGGGTATAGCTTTGTGGAGTTCTTCAGTGTGGAGAGTAGAGCGCTTGCTTCATGATCGGAAGGTCGTGGGTTCAAACCCTGGCCGCCACTGACCTAAGTCGATAAAAATATGTGGCAACTGTTCAGAGAGAGAGAGAGAGAGAGAGAGAGAGAAAGAGAGAGAGACCTACGTTGTATGTAGTAGGCAAAGCGAAGATATTCATCAGTTTTCATTAAACACAACTACATTTCATGGTCTTTAAATTGATGTTTCAATACTTAGATCCGCACGATAATTTCATGAAGTACATATATGTAAAGTTATTCTCTTTATTTGTACACAGAAATTCATTACAATTACAAACAAAGGTTTCAGAAGCTTATCACCACAATAAAAGAAAAGAGAATTACATGTAAATAAAAAATTATAAATTAAACATTTGAAACAAAATAAACTTTCATCTTCTGTCTCTTAACCAATCATGAGCCTTGGGATTAATATAATCACAATTTGCGGACAACTTTGATGTTTTCTCCTTATCAGCGAGAAGGCGGGATCTTCTGTCATACAACAACTGTCTGCGTCTTTCTTTTGCTGAATTGTTGTCAGGATCACATAGGTATATATAAATCTGTAATTTAAAAATCATTTATAATGAGCAAGGTCACTTTTCATATAATTGGCTTGAAATTCCATATGTGTTTCAATTTACTCACATTGGCAGGAGTATTTTATGATCTCTTTATTAGTTTTCCCAATTTTATATTTGTATTCAATATAAATATTTATGATCGTAAGACATAGTTTTGAAAACTAAGAAACATATATTCTACACATTAGAATAGATTTAAGTGGGCCATCGATATTTTTTCTGCAATAAATAGACTTCGACGTATCTATTTAAACATTACGTTAATGCAATGTGACAAATTAATTTTTATGTCATGTTTTTTAATTGTCTATTGCTATTTTCAAAAGCGGGACACTTTTGATCTTGCGTCACACGTGTACAAGCGCATATTGTTGTTGCATCTTGCTTAACAGATTCTGTTGTAGAATGAAAGTAATATTCGATCAGTTTTTGACTGTTGCATAACGACTTATTGAAATAGGGACAAAAAATCTTTAATTTAATTTAATGTAAAACCCAGTTAATTCTCAAATACCATCCTGTTTTTAGATTGTTTAACGTGTCATCTACATATATCACTATAAGGCTTAGAACAAAATTATTTGGCAAAAAATGTTTTCAATTTCTTGGTTTTTTGACAATATTAAGATTTTAAAAGAATTTTTTTGGTTAGACAGTTTATAATTCTGTCATATAGTTTCATTTTTGCATCTATCTACATAGCTATCAATTAATACGTGTCCACTTAGTACGTTTGTTCAGTGTGCAATATTGGTTTTCTGCAATTTGCATAATATTTCTTCATAAACCCAGAGCTATGTAGGTTTATTGACTAATATAAACAATGACATTTTTATTTGGTACAACACATGACTGTATTCAAACAACTTACCTCGTCCATGTAACCTTTGAAGTTCCGGCGACCGGTACCACTTCCGATATGTATTCCACTATTGGTAGTTTGTACATATCCTGCAAATTACGAACATTGAAAAAATGTGACAATGCAATCCAAGATTTGCATTAAACATTATATATGACATTCAATAAATGGGTAAAATCAATAAAAGATAATGTATAAAGAAAAGCCAAAAAAACCTTAAGTCTTGACGGTACCTGAATGGTTTTTTTAAGACATATTAACTTCACAAAATTAGCACATATCACAAACTAGTCTTTTGTTATGTAGCAAAAAAGATTTTAGTTTTAGACAAAATGTCATTATAATTTTGTCTATACATGTATATTGATGAACACACTTCAGGACAAAGTGTATCAATTTTGTCGAGCATGTTATTTATTGTTTCTTTCCCCTGTTTTAGGCCCAGGGACAATTTATGTTTAACCCCTGATCATAGCAGTTTTGTGCCTAAGTATGTATGGTTGCTTCATAGGTAAAGTAACACACTTTTGTGAGGATTTATGCTATTAAAAAGACAAACATCAAAAAATCTTTTAACATTCAATTTGATAAGGCTGGAACAATTTGTAGTAAAAAAAAAAACAAACATTCAACACAAACCTCTTAAATATTTATCATCCTCCTTTCTCCCATCAATTGTCACTTGTATGACACCGTCTTTTATTTTCAAGGAGACGGTTTTCCATTTCCTTAATTTCTGAAATTTGAAAAAACATAAGCTCTACATATATTTGATATATATATATATATATATATATATATATATATATATATATATATATATATATATATATATATATATATATATATATATATATAGACGTATTCTGTATAAAAATCATTTTCATTCCAATTTCTCTTACTTCTTCAGATATTTTTTCCGTTCCATCCTTATTCTCTTCTGAAAAAATAGCTTTTCCCTCTTTCTTCTTATTGTTAACAATTTCATTTTTCTTTTTCTGACCTTCCATGTCTTTGTTCTTTTTTGAGTCTTCCATCTCCGTAGTCTTTGCACTTGGCGTGTTCTCATTTGTGAGAGAATGCGTTATAAAATCACCAGAAATAATTCCCCTTTCTAAATTTCCTTCATTCACATTCGAAACCTCTTTGGTAATCATGGTGTCTGTTTTCTTGGACATATTACTCACACTTTCACTATCTTCTTTACTAATGTTGTCAGTTGCAATATCTAAAAATGTTATGTTGACCAGTGTTTTTTTCTTAATATCATCTAGGTTGTCACCCCCTATAGTTATGACTGGTGTTAAGTCATTTACCTCTGCAAAATGGCTAGTATTTTCATTCATGACTTCGTCGGGAGCCTCAGCACTTTCATTTAATTCTTTATCTCTCTCACTGATTTCTTCTGTTTTTATATCTTCTCTCGATTCAGCTCCATTTTCACTAACTTCATCATCAGTTAGAATATTAGTCACTGTAGATTTGACTGTGGATGTCCTTGTAAGATTGTCCTCTGGAATCTGAGCATTATTTGATAGTGTTGGTAGTGCATCATCTGGTTCAGAAGAAGCAATTGATGACCTGTCATCTATTTCTAAAATTTCAGTTGATAATACATCTTCTAGCTCCAGAGAACTGTTTGAAAGTTCATTATCAGGTTCCACAAAATTATCTGATACCTTGTCGTCTTTTTCCAAAGCATTACTTGACAATACATCTTCTGGTCGAGGAATATTATTTGGTAATGCATCATCTGGTTGTGAAGGATTATTCGATAATACATCATCTAGTTCAGGAACATTGTTTGCAGCTCTATCATCTGATTCAAAGGCATTATTTGAAGATATATTATCTGGTTCAAGGAGATTAGTTATATCATCTGGTTCAGGGGCATTATTTGATGATACATCATCTGGATTAGGAGTATTGTTTGAAGACATATCCTCTGGTTCTAGAGCATTGATTAACACAGTGTCATGTGTTTCTTGTGCAATGTTTGATACGCTTTCCTCTGCGGTATCATCGTTTTGATCCATTTGGTCGTTATTGTTTACAATGACTCCTTTTATATCATCAATTATTCTTGTTATGCCATCAGTTTCTCCATTCGTGAAAATAAGATCGAAATTGAAATTCTCTGTGCCCTTTGCATTATCTGTATGAAGTGGGATTACATTTGAATCGGTATTTTCGATCGTACTTGCAACATTTTTGTACGTGGTGTTGGTCAAGTCATTTTTTCTATCAATTTTGTTTTCATCAACATTCATCATGTTCTCATTTTCATTGTTTTCATTGTCATCGTTCTTTAATGGGGCAATTGTTGTAGGAATATCAATACTTATAGGTGATCCAAGAATTATATCAAAAAGAGAAGTTTTCTTTAAAAGGTCAGAAATTTGAACATCATTTTGATTTATTTTAAATCCGTCATCCATATTTAACAAACTTTCTGGTATTTTAACTTCATATGTACCTTGGTAGGTGGTTGCAGCAGTGTCATTTCTATTCGCATTCAACTCTGGTTGAATTTTGTCATCGACGTCTAAGGAGCTAACGTCATCGTCTATTTCTGATGCTTCTGCCTTAAATTCTAAAGTGTTTTCGACATCATCATCATCATCATCATCATCACCATCAGAATTTGTACTGTTGTTTTCACCTAAGTCTCTTTTCCTTCTTGAATGTCCTGACATAATAGTTACATTGTCATAAACACTGTTAACGTTGAATAGAGTAGTGGATCCCCTGGAACTGATTGAAATGGAGGGATGCTCACAGCTACTTCCATAACAATTTCCATTCGAAATAAGAGCATACTCATTTTTATCATCATCATCGTCGGTTGGATCCCCCTCGCTCTCATATCCTTCATCCTCCTCATCAGCTAAATATCTGATATAACATATTGTTAAATTAATTTTCACTTAAAGATACATACCGCAAACAAAATTTCATATCTCCCACATAGGAGAGTTGCATCGCTATTTTTTTTTCAATATTTCTCTCAATTGAAATCTAATAAGGAAATTTTAATTGTGTAAAATGTGAAAATAAACTCTTGAAAATGTTCCCAGAAACTTTACAGTAAGAAAACATAGTATATTTCTAAACTTTTGAAAAATGATATTGAACTGTAAAGTTACATTTTCCCACTTTTCAACAAATTAGGTGGCTTGGTCAAACATAAAGTTGTTTAACTAAACAGGTATCACATCTTTAATCAGAGAGGCACCTATTTAAGCAATAATATTTGAATTTTGGAAGAAAAAAAATATTTCGTTATTTATCTTTGATAGAGCATTCCTCTAAAAAAGAAAGACGCATTTAGTAACAAGCGCCATAACTCAATCTTGAGAAAAGATCTTACTTGAGTTTTATGACCACCGTATTTCCATATTCCACACTAGCGAAACGTGGTATAAAAAGAGAGGATTTCCCATCAAAATATGCCTTCCCATCACGTATCCAGACCTGGCCATGGCTTTCAACGTATGTTTCTTTACCAGAGAAATCTTTAATTCCATCGCAAAATGGCAGGTACAATTCAGGACTACACGAGTCTAAAATTAAATAGATCCACATGTTTTTTTTAGAAGGAAAACATTATAGCAATATTTTTTTCGTTCCGTAATATTGAGTCAGCATAAACAAGGTCTCCACAAAAAAATCTGGATGAAAATTTGAGGGAAGTAATTTTATCAGTTATATCTACATTTCTTGTTTCAGAAAGTCGCCCGCGTGGCCCAGTAGTTAGAGCGTTTGCTCTAGAGTCGCGGAGTAAGGAGTTGATCCTTACGTCGCGGGTTCGAAATCCCACTATGGGACGTGGAGACCGGTCCTTAGGATGAGACCGTGTAAACCGAGGTCCCGTGTCGCAATAAGTGCTGGCACGAAAAAGATCCCTCACTGTTCAATGGCCCTGAGTGCCGAGTATAGGACAAAATTTGCAGAACTCCACCGGCAAGTGGTTGCATCTCCATCTGAGTGAAAAATTCTCGAGAGGGACGTTAAACAACAACAAACAGACTTATTTCAGAAGAAAACAATCTCACATCTTTTTCGTTCAGTAAGTTCAGTTTCTTATTAATAAGGTCACCACAAACAAATGCTTAATTATGACAATTTGGAAAAGTACACTTTATTGTATTAACCAAAGACAATCTATTTCAGATTTATGCATACGATCTCTAAATGATATTAGTAATTTGTTCTTATCTGAAAGATTTACTATTCATTTAGAAGGTTCTTATTTTAAAAAGTTTCTGACGTTGATGCCAATCTCCGTATGGTCCTCTCACCTTCTGTTTGTTTTGCTCTGTATTGTGTAACGCTAAATCTGGTGCATCCACAGTCCTCTTCACTGAATACAGCTCCTTCAGCACATTTGAATACCTTCCAAATCCCTTCAAGTGTTTTCTGTTGGAACTTGTTTGGAAGACCCGGAACTGCCTTTAACTGGCATATGGTATTTGTCTCTGAAAGGTCATGATAATATTACTTTACGCCGGATCAAATAAAATTTCGAAGAAAACATACGAAAAACATGCATAGACTTCTTCATATTTCGAGAGAAGGGGTGTTTTGTTTGTTTGTTTGTTTTTGGAAATCAAAATTCTGTGCGATGACATGTTAAATTTCATAAAGATAAGCATGATATTTTCATGCTACTTTTTGGCTATTGGTAAAAGTAACATACCTTGTTCTCCAGTTCCGGAAGAAGGACACTTAGATGTGCATGAGGGGTCCCAGACACACCCCGTGCCTTCCCTATATGACGTCTTAGAGGGACAACATTTTGGGACAGATTTTCCTTCATCACAATGCCAGTAAGCACTACATCCCATTCCAAAGTAAGCATAGGATGATCGAGTTTTATTTTTGCAGGGATCTTAAACAGAAATGATTCACTTTGCTTAGTTCACTTATATAAAATGGTAGTATTCTATATACTCTTCTGGATTTGGAAGTTTGCGTCTTCATACATTTAGACAAGATACTAATCACTAGCTATAGCTTACTTGTGATTTTAACCTTATACCTGATATTATCAAATGAGATAAGTAATCAGAAGTTAATTTATAATGTATTTAATCGACCATGTATCTCTTACCATAAGGTAAATTCAACCGTGAAAACTGAATACAGGTGACATCTAATGCGCTCCAGTACTGACCAAAAGGACAGCTTTTATATGACACCTTCAGGGTTTTACCCAATCCTTTATAACACATTGCAAACCTTCCTATATCGCCACTCACTGGGGCATATCCAACATCATACACCCATGTTGCTGTATCACAAATACCTGAAATGTGAAAGACAAAACGTTGCAAAAATAATCCCAGTTCCAAAAGATAACAATTTTGGTATATTACATGCTGTAGAGAAGAATGCATTAACTGTAGTTTAAATTTGCGTTTTAAACTTGAAGGAAGCATGCTTGATTTCTCACTTGAGTCTTCTTCATTATCTGGTGATTCTTGTTGTTCTTGTGAATCCGTACTTTCAGTGGCAGGTTTTGGTATAGGAGTTTTTGACTGAGGCTTTGATGCAAGAATTGCTGGATATTAACGAAATTTATATTTTGAATATAGTTGTTGATTCCATTTATATAAAAATAGTTTCTTTTGCTTCATACTACCAAAAATGTTTATTTTAAAATTGGTTTCTTTTGAGAAGGTTTCTTAGTGAGCTCCTGAATTATTTCTAAATCCAGATCTGTGATATGCAAACTACTACAAATGAGATTTTTTTTACTCATGCTTACGTAGATATACCATTTTAATAGTACCTTTGCAAATGTATTGTGGAATTTGTCTAATAGTACTGAACAGTGTCTCAATTGTGTCAAATCTATAAGCCTGTTCCTTTGTCCAAGCTAAATCAGCAAAATCATCAGATCCGATCCCGATCGAAATAACCCTTATATTCTGCTCACTCATTTCTTCTGCCACTTCACGTGTTTCTGCCTGGACTTCTTTGGTCACGTTTTTATAAAGCAAAACAGCAACCTGTGGTACGGCATACCTTTTGTTGCTTGTCAGAAGATTCTTTGCTTTTTCTAGCCCAATCATAGGTTTGCTAGATCCACCTATTTTCTGAAGCTTCATTAAAGATTTTCCCATCAACATACGGTTTCCTGAGAGAGGGATTGCTGTTCCAAGTTTTGAACCGTATGTTACAACACCTAGCCTCGTTTCAGATTCATCTATTGACATGCCTCTGAGGAGAAGCATGACTACTCGTTTTAAAGTCTGAAAATGTGGGATAGTGACATCATCTGACCCAGGTAGTATAAATACAGCATCAACCAAGTCACAATCTGTGAAAGTAAGTTTATTCAAAAATGAAGAAGGAATTTGTTTTCAATTTCAAAAATTCAGAAAAATTTTTAGTGTATGTGTGCATATCTAATTTATACAATACAGTGAATTTAAGGTTTATTTCCTATGTTAAGAGAAATTTTAATCAAAATTTAATCTTATGTTGGTGATTTAATTGTGTAATAATGCAATAAAAATGCATTATATATATTCCTGGGAATCACCTATTCGTATTTATGAATAACTTAAGTGTAAGTACAGTCAACTCTTCTAGATTTTATCAAATAATGCATACTGTACATCTGTATAAATGAATGCCATGAAATAATCATATAAAACAAGTCAGTACTCTTCGTCTGTATAAAATTCACTGAAGAAGTAACTTGCAAGTAGTAAATCATTTTATGCAAAAACGAATTTGAGCCTCCAACTTTACAATAACTAATGTGTGTAACGCATGCTTAAGGAGGTTGGATGCTGTTTTCAAAAGTCCTAAGAAGTTTTCATGAAGTATATTTTTAGTATCTACATACATACTTACATAGATGTAGTTAAATAAAGAATCAAAACAAAAAATGGGGGTTAATATGCTTTTATTGGCGCTACGGTGCATTGAATATGACCTCTTTGCATTGTAATTGTGTCTTACACATAAATCATCTTTTTTGTCTTATTCTATCTTGATTTACACATTAATTATGACAAGAAAAAGTTTCACATTACTTTGCATAATTATTATTTTTTTGACCTTTTTGCACTCAGGATTAATTTTGCTGGCATGAAAAAATAAACAAGCAATAAAATAATCCACAGTATTGATATTTTACTTAATTTAAGCAGAATGGTCAAAGTTATCATATATTCAGAAAAGAAAATTGAAAGTAGGACTCTATGATGAAATAAAAAGTTTAAAAAAATTCCTGAACATTCACAATATATTTTGCTATATTTGTCACAATATAATGATAGATTCCATAAAAGTTAATTGAATACTGTAGAATCAAATAACTTTTATGGAATCTATCATTATATTGTGACAAATATAGCTTATTATTTTTATTATTAAAAATTTTATGCAGCAATGACTGAAATTCATGAAAATTTTGCTTCGCTTGTAAATACCAAAAACTTTCACGCGAAAATAAGGTTCATGAAAATTAAGTGATCTACATTAGACATTGCCTTGTAAAAAAAAAAAAAAAAAAAAAAAACCCCTTCCCCCTGAAAATTCAGTTCCTCACCTCATGCTTTTTGTATGGAATTCAATCGTGGGTTTTTAATATAGTAAATTGGCAATGTACAATCCAAATTCATTGTAAGAACTAAAAAAAATGATGCAGAATGTTGGAAATAGAGGCTCAGACAAAATTTGTATCGAACCTCCTTAATTTATAATTGACCATATTACCTTTTAACAGAGAGGAAAAAGCAAAGAATATGATTTAAAATCGCTCTGCACTCATACTGAGTCTATGGCAATGTTTCATACGCGGAAAAAATCCAATAAACAATTGTTAGCCTAGAGAGTTGAACATTTTGACAGATCCTTAACATTTAAAGTGTGGATGTTTCATTCTGTTTTTCATAAATTATGGATAATTTACCATAATAACATGTACCTACATGCATGAATTTGTTGCATTTATATGATTTTTTAAATAACATTTTGCTTTTTAATACAGAACAATTACCACTTAATTAGTTGTCTCAATTCACCTTTCTTATGTTTATTAAATTAAATTAACTTTTGGTTTTTGAGGACGTTATGAAAGGAAAAGAATTTGAAAGTTCCATTTCAGAATAGTTTGTAATAAACTAACTTTCTTACATAGGTCTTTTAAAGTTATTAATATTGTTTAAGTGTTATGGATATTTACAATTTTCTTGATGATAAATTAAAAAAAAAATCTGGCGATTACTAGTCGTCATTGTTTATTAATCTAAAATGAATTAATTAAAAAGAAATTATGTTAAAATGTTGACTTTAACTGAAAAATCATGGTTATAACAAAAGGGAGTGGAACAATTAGTTAGCAAATAAGGTAGATTAGAATAAGGAGATACATGTATAAGTTGTTCCTAATAAAAGTAACAATTATCTATTTGTTTTCTTGCAACCATTGTGATGGCTGAATAATCATTTTTTCAATACTCATTTCTTGCTTTGTTCAGAATCTTGTGAGATATCTGGTAAGACGAGTTTCAATTAAATAATTACCTTGATTGGGATATATCTGCAGTGTGCAGTACTGCAAAACTGTCATTAAAATAAGAAGAACGGACAACGTGTAGCTCATCTGTAAAGAAAAAATTAGGATGCTATGATCTACATGTATTTAAGACAGTTTTATTGATTGACTTTAAACAATTATACATAATTTCCATGCAATATACCAGGAATTATTAATATTCTGACATTCCGGAATATAAAATGACAAAATGATTAACAGGTTCTTGAAATTTACCATATTTAGCACTTACACAATCACCCGATAAAATAGTCGTGCATATGTACGATTATTCTTTATTTTTCACATAGAAAAAATATACTATAATCCCTTAAATAGATTCACATATTTTAAGCAACGTTTTCCAGCTTAATAAACAAAACAAGCAAAGAAACTAGACAAGAAAAAAATCAAATTACCGAAAACATTTGGATTAAAATTCAAATCTGTCGTTTTAAAAAAAAAACTCAAAGGTTTGAAATCTGTATATAGAAATCTATTTCCGTTAATAAAGAATGCTTAAAAAAGATAAGGATATTTTTACACAAAAATAAGCATATACTGACCATTGCAGACTTTGGCCTTTTCCTTGAAATAACAGGAGTCGTACTTCACAACAAATCATCCGGCGTGCACTAGATTAATTAGTAAAGTGTAAATGAAATGAGAATTTTCATAATCGGACATCTCGCCGTGTTGTTATGCTCAGATTATGTACTTTCTGGTATTTTATTTGCATTTTTCAGAAACATTGAATATCATGGTATTTGTTTGATTGGAAGAAGGGGATTTACCTGTAAGGTCAGATCCATTTAAGTTCCCTTCGTACAATTCTGAGGTGAAAACATTTATAAAGTAATATATAAAGTAATTAATGTGTGAACGAGTTACCAATGGAAATTCGAATACCATCTTGCAATTCAAATTTCTTCACATTGAATCACACGACAAATAAACATTTTGATATAAAAAGGTTTAAAAAAAACCTTCATAAAGTCATAAGCAACGCCTAAATCACCATGAAGATAATTATCTTAACTGTAAAACAGTCATTTGGGTTTGTTTTCAATTATTAACCAATATAACATGTAAAGTCTCAGAGGTGTAATTTGTTTTTTATATTTTGAAGCACAATTAATGCATCACTATAGGTGCATATGTAAAAACTAATTCTGCTAATGTTCAAAGTAAATATAAAAATTGAGGTGGATATGATGATTAAGAATTTCAAAAGAAAAATATACGCAAATAAATTAGACGTTTGTTAAAAGTTAGGTAAGTAGTTATATAAAATATAGAATGTGTCTCAGTTAAGTACTCTGTAGCATTTTGCATTTACTTTATTACCGTCATTATGTTTCATTATCAATGTGTATTTGCACTATACGCTAAATTTTTATTTTATTTTGTATTTTAATTGATGAGACCAAAATGACGAAAAAGATTAGTCTGGGTTTTGTTTCAGTTCAACATTTTATTGATTAACACCAAAGTGATGACGTAATACACAAGTACACAAAAGGGTCAGACTAATCAATGTACATCCTAACAGGCTTTTTTGTTTGTAGTCTCATTGTGTATTGTTTTAACAATAGAGCAATATAGGGGAAATGTGATAGTGCTGAAAAAAGAAACTCTATTTCACTAAAGAGAAATGCACCATTCCCTCAGTCAGGACTGTTTACTCCTAAAATATTCTCTTACTATTTCCACATCAAAACATTCCACATAACATTCTGGGTATGTTATTGAAACCACCGAAAATTTCGCCTATTTATACTGCCAACTTTTGGGAGGCAAGATAATGTGGTCTAACTGGCTTCGTGCAGATGTCAACCACGAGAGAAGTTGATAGAGATCAATGGAATTTTTTTGAAATCGAGCTTTTGTGCTGCTAAGGTAAGAATTTGGAGAAATAAATACAGAACTGATCACAACTTTTTGTGCGCAATAAATATGCATTTTTTCAATGGGTGTCACGGTAGCTCTTTCGTCGTCCAAATTTTATTTAGACCAGAGAGCTACAGATCTGCAGCTAGTGTTAACCATTCCTGCAATTGAAAGAAAAATAGTCGTTTTGAAAGTTTATTTTATTGCAATCTTGCATGTCCTTCAGTGCAATCTAACTTTCATGGATTGACAGCTTTAATATTAAGAAGTTCAATAAAAATATCAATGGAAATACCTTTGTTTTCAATTAGATTAAATTAGCATTTTGATCAAGAATATATAAATATTAATTGTCCGTATGGGTAATGCCGTTGCTATGATTAACTTAATCTTTATAGAAAAAAAAACCTATCCAAGTAAATTAGAATGCGATAGTGTCAACTAAAATAGTGAACATTTTTCTTTTACACTAAGGAACACAAATGCAATGAATCGTTTTATAAAGGATTTTGAAAAAAAAAGTCATTGTTTACCTCTCTTTTCATTGAAGTACATGCAGGTTTGTACATGGAAGTTAAATGTCCACTTACTGGGTTACTATAGCAAGACTAGACGGACTCTGGATGATATCAGTCAATAATACTGAGTAATCATGTCAATTTAGAATTGGCACCCTTAAAGCACATGACCATCTAAGGTTATATGTTTATATGAGCATCACCATTTCTGTTTGGTTAAAAGTAATGAGAAGATCTAGAGGAGTTTTTACTTTTATTCCTTGATGAATCAATGCACAAAAATCCTAGTTCAGTTGCATGTATACTTGTGTGTGGCTGCAGAAATGTGCTAGCGACCTTCCCATTGCTGTCAGGGCATCCTTAGTTATTGGCTTCATGGCTGACCCGGCGTCGATGAGGTCCATTAAGTTTTTCTATAAACATTTTTATTACATAGCGTGTAGTTACCCACTAGGACTATTCAAAGACATGTCTTCATTATTTTCATTCTTTATATGAATAATGGTATATGCACTGAAGAATACCATGTATCTTTATTTTTATGTGCAAATAATTTTAATTTTTCAAACATAAAAATCGTTGTTTTTCTTCTAATAGACTAAAGCATGAATCTTGGTGTAAAATTTGTCCCAATAGGTTAACATACATAAATAAAAGTAATATTTAAATTACATGCAATTCTAAGTTAGCAATTAAGTGTTTTAATTTCTTTTTTCAATGATGTTTTATGATTTTCTTTTGGTCACAATTTGCGAAACAGACCAATTATAGTTAATCGATGTTCAGTAAAAACAAATCATTAATGCAATCAAAACTAGTGCTAATAGTAAAAGAAACTAAATATTTGTTATTTCGTCCTAATCGCAACAATCTTTATACCTCTAGAGTGTGCAGTCCATGTGACGTATGAACATCGGTTTGTTCCTGTGCAGATGTTTTATATAAGTAACAGATATGTAGTGATGATTTCACAGCAAGAACATGCTAAAAGTAAAAGATTACATGATTTGATTACTTAACAGTGCAAAAACAATGCCTAATAAGCAATCATTCAGTATAAAACAAGAAGGATTTATTTAAATATATTTATGAAAATCTAAAAGTAATAGTCTCTAAATATAGAAAAAGTAAAAGAAATGAGTAGACATCAATTCTTACTGTACTGTAATCATAAAAGAAGGTAAACGACTCCAATTCGTTCGGTTCATGTGTTGTTTTAGGTGGATGGGTGTGATGCTGATGATGGTGACCATGCGCAGTCGTAGTTGTTATCTGTTCGGCAGTTGTTGAGGCCCTAATTGGCTGAAAGATCTACAATATTATCCATAACACGTTTTTCATGTAATACTAAAAAAAAAAAATTGCTTCTTCTATGGAACTTCAATAATTTGTAATGATACACAAACTTATTTCTGTTGTGTTCCATTTTTAATTTTGTTTAATTTTGTGAAATGTGTTTTGAAAATAAAATCAAAATATGTTAACCGTATAGGAACCTTTCTCTGTATGTCAAGCACATAAATGTACTAGCAAAGTTTATGGTAAATAAAAGACTTCACATTACCTGAATCTTATTTTAACAAAGTAGGTAATATAAACCGTGCCTAGACAAAGCTAAAGTTTTATTTTGGTTGACTTTATTCTTCTTATTGTATAATTACAAGTCATTCATCTAACACTACATTAAATTATGTGACATTCTATAAATTATATAAAGCTACCAACAGAAATTTTGCAAGGATAAACAGAAATATGTTGTACGATATCCGAGATTGAGAGTGATCGTGCAGGCAAATTTATATTTATCTTATTATGATAACGATTCGGTACATTTAATTTCGAGGAGTTGTGCTCATTTGAATAATGCAAAACATTACGTTATTTCTCCCAAACAGTTTTGATAGTAAGATGCAGCAGCAAATAGAATAGAATAGAAGAGAGAGAGAATTTTCTAAAAACATTGAAATTGTAATGTTTTATCCATGAATTTTAAAGATTATTTTTCGAAACATATAAAAAATGAAGTTAAAAAGATACTTTTCCCACAAATACTCACTATGCCAGAGAAGCAAGCAAATGTCAGGAAAGGCAGAATCATTTCTGGTCTATGGAACAATAGCTGACAGACTTCTAAACACAAGGGTGATTAACCGTCTCTTATCTTACATTCCTGTGCTAATGCATACCTCTATCAGAAACTGTCAACCTTGACAATTCTCAAATTATCTGTAGGACAATATACATTGAAACTCTTCATATTAAACATTTGTAAGTATTGTATTCCTTTCTGCCCAATTTCTTTTCACATACATTCTGTTTAAGACTATTTAAAAAAAAAGAAAATACTAGTTTGACAGCTCTGATCGAGCACATCACTTTATTATATCTATATTTTCGTGGAAATCAGTAATCATACATCATTGAAACTCGCTTATGTTATTTTGATGAATGTTTTCCAAGAATGCACTGAAAGTGGTGGACAATATATTGTCCAGAAAACCTTCATGAAAGAGTTCATGAGAATAGCGGAAGTATTGTTTAGGAAGATATCAAATCTTGTGAAATATGAAAATAACGAACAGTGATCTTCTCAAAAGTCCATTTAAACAATGCAAATTATGAGCAGAGCCAACACGCACAGAAGTGTGCCATGGAGGAGTAAACAACTCCTGCTGTCGACCATTCACACCCTCCATGTGCTCCTTGTCATGGTCCAGTAAACCAAAAAATCCGTAGATAATTCAGTGTGAAAATAATGATATAAAAATTTGTATGAAAAACATCATTCGACTTGACGAAAGATTGTATTTGCAAACAAGGCCATTGTCTCGACCATAGTATTTGCGGAATTGACTTTAAAAGAGATTGCTGATATCCTTATGCGATCAACTTATTTGTCAATGACCTGCCTCGTTTCAGAAATTGTTCGCACGTAGAGCATGCTCTTGCGTATCGCATTAATTGGGAAACATGAACTCCATGAAATATGAAGATAACGAACAGTGTTCAATCTCGAAAGTCCAATGAAAAGATACAAATTTGAAGTAGAGCAAACACTGACCTCAAAATTTAGAGGTGGGGTCAGGTGCCATGGAGGAGTGAGCATCCCCTGCCGACCGGTCACACCAGCCGTTTGCACCTTGTCATGATCCGTAGACAGTTCAATGTATAAATAGTATGAGAAACGTCAGTCAGCATTTGACTCAATGATAGGTTGTATGTGCTGACAAGGTCATTGTATCGACCGTAAAACTCGCGAGCAGATGACTTCAAACAACTTGTTGATATCCTTGTTTCATCAACTTGTTTGTCAATAGCTTGCATCGTTTTAGAAATTGTTCATACGTAGAGCATGCTCTTGCGTATCGAATCAACTGAGAGACATAAACCCCATATGCAGGTGATAAGGATATATTGCTATATAAGTAAGGGAAGTTGATGATTGAAAAATTGAAGTGTTCATGTTTATCACAAAGCTTTGTTGTTAGGTTACCATTAACGTCTTTTTCTAGTAAAGTATCTAAATATGAAACAGATGTGTCAGAATCTGTGGTATCTTTTATTTCAAGCTCATTGGGATATATCGAGTTGACATATTAATGAAATTAAGTATTGTTAATAGATAATACACATGTACGTCGTCGATATATCGAAATGTCGAGTTGAAAGCCACAGCAAGTGTTTTCTTCTTCTCATGTAGAAGTTTTTGAATAAATTCTGCTTCATATGAATACAAAAGTACGTCTGCTAATAACGGGGCGCAATTGGTAGCCATGGGAATTCCTACAGATTGTTGGAAGACCTGATCTCCAAAAACTAAATAGATATTTTCAATAAGAAACTCAAGCATCTTTTCAATATCAACTTCAGTGTACTTGTGTGTACAGTCAGAGTGCTTTTTAACAAAATAATTCTGTAAATGACCAATGACAAGGTAAGTTTATTAACGAGTTCCATTTTTATTGAAAAGCAGCTGTCTATGATGTCACAAAGCCTGGACTTCAATTTACCGTGGGGAAATTAATGGTATATTGCTACATTCAAAGGAAATCAACGAAAGAAAAATTGTCATCATGTTTATCATAAAGTTTAGTTGTCAGTTTGCGGGCATTTCTAAATACAGAAAAATAAATTTTAATGCTTTTCTAAAAGAAAAGATATAATCTTGAACGTTTTACCCACGAACCAAAAGACGATGCAATCAAAAACTCGGATGCATGGACTGGCATATATTTTCCGACCTATTTCGGTTATAAATTACAGATATTAAATTTCTATGATGTTCAAAATTCGACCTTTTAGCCATCACCTTCATAAAACTATACATTTTTTTCACTTTATAGGGTATTACCAAGAAATTTTGATATGAAAAATCAAAATCTATGCAGCTAAACTTGTTCACTCTACTTATATAAATATGTTGTGATTTTTATTATTTTTGAAAAAAAGTTTATATCATCTTTCCTTAATTACATGTACTGTTGACGAATTAACAATATAATTATTGTACGAAAATACATTTAAATGTAGGCATTCAAAATTACTCATCACAAAGATAAAATACCATATCCTATTATTCAATTATTATGTTTTTCTATGAATAAAGCAATTCTGTGGAATCGGATTTACTTTCGGGATATCACACACTTAGGTTTAATGTCGAGCATAATGCCTTAATTTTCGGTAAAAAATATTTTAAAAATATATTACAAGGCCACCGAACAGTTTATTATAGCATTCAAAACTTTGTAGTCGCCCGCGTGGTGCAGTGGTTAGAGCGTTTGCTCTAGTGTCGAGGAGAAAGGAGTTGATCCTCACGTCGCGGGGTCGAATCCCACTGTGGGACGTGGAGACCGGTCCTTCGGATGAGACCGTATAAACCGAGGTCCCGTGTCGCAGTAGGTGCTGGCACGAGAAAGATCTCTCACTGCTCAATGGCCCCAAGTGCCCAGTATAGGTCGAAATTTGCAGCTCTCCACCGGCAAGTTGTGGCATCTCCATATGAGTGAAAAAATCAAAGAAACAAAACAAACAAAACTTTGTAAACACAATTCTTAATTATCCGGTTATATAAATACATGTAACTGTCATCGTAATATCACCTTATGAAAGTATAAAAACTAATACAGAATTTATATAGAATTCTTTCTTCAAAATATTTACACAGAGATACAGAATTAAGGAATCGGGGTTTATTTTCACGTTCTCCGTTTTAAAAGACACATGTATTGACTAAATGATGAACTATGTGTTTGAAACCAGTTCAGATATTAGGAGAATTGGGTTTCAGAGAGAGAGAGAGAGAGAGAGAGAGAGAGAGAGAGAGAGGGAGAGAGAGAGAGAGAGCATTCAGTAGAACTGCTGGAGCGTCACCTATCTTAAAAGAGGGATTGATTCAACGGAATCCCTATTTAAAAAAAAATCAACACAAAAAGCAATCTCTTCAGACAACCGACAGTTTTAAAAACATTTTTTTTTGAATATAGTTTTGGAATCTACGAGGGTTGTCACAGAAAACGCCAACATTTTTGATATTTTTCGGTTCACAAATATATGAAGTCAAAATTTTGCAGGCCTCTTAATATTCTTTTAATACTACAAAGACAGTTATTAAACTTTATCTATTAATTACATTTTCTTTTGGGAAATCGTCAAAATCATATAAAATGATAATCAACATGGGTGTGTCTGACGTGTTTCAGATTTCCACCGCTAGTTGGCAATCAAAATTCCAAGCGCTGAAAAAGATAGTAAAGGACACAATGCTCTTTGAGCCTCCATCCAAAAAGTGAAAAACTTGTGGTGCGCTAACCTCCGATATTTCACACCCGTTAAATGCTGTTTTCATATTTATATGACAATACAACCTCATAATATTTTGTCAAAATGACTAAAATATTTCATAATAATCTGCAAAATATGAATCATTGCGGTCAAGTACTTTAATAAACATTTTAAAAATTTGCGTTTTCTGGGACAACCCTCGAATAAATCTTATCTCGCTAATGTTATTTTGATAAATGTATAGGAGTGCAGATGTACACAATGCACTAGGCCGAAGACTTGCAAAATGTATAGAAAAATTATAAGTTTTTGAATCTAGTGAACGTAAAATGTTTTCAAATACATAAAACAGAAGGCATTTCTAAAGACAAAAATGACTGAATTTAAATGCTTTTCTAAAAGTAAAAAAAAAAAAAAAATTAACCATGACCCTTTTTACCATCAATACCAAATCCGAATATACGAAAAGCGCTCAATTTTGTCAAAAGTTAATGTATAATTATCATTTTTATTATTGATGACATCCAGAAAAATTCAAGTTCATTTCATCGATAATTGCACGGAAAATAGATCACAAAAGAGGACAATAAATTACAAACCATATGCTACTTCCCCATCATTATGTTTTTCTATGAAATAGGCAATTTTGTTGAATCAGATGTATTTTTATAGGCGTCAACACATTTTTGTTTGATTTCTGCATAATTTCTCTTAAGGACTCTCTCTACACTCCATCCTGATTTCAGGGTACTTTTGTGTAGTTTTATTTGCATGTATTTTCTCCATTTGAGTAAGCAAAAGCGAATTTTCTTTATTATTATTTGATTTAAACATATTTTACTGAAACACAATCAATGGGATTGGACACAAGTTATTCCAACTTAGATTTATTATTACTTCTTTATCTTTGAAGACTTTTCCTGGATAAAAAAGACACGCTCCCTATATTAAAAATGAATTGGTTAATTTCAAAATAACCTCCTATACGCTATATAATTTTCTCAAAGTCCAAAAAACATTTTTCATCAGTGTATAGAGGGTCCTTAATTCTAATTAATAATAATTTTCACAAATATGATTCAAATGGAGTGAAACAATTTATCATAGCATTCACACATTTCCTTAATATCCATTTTTGTATTTTTATATCGTAATTTCACGTTATAAAAGTAAAAAAATGAAAAAGCTAGTTTTGAACTTCCTATCAGGTCCAGTGTCACGGTAGCCGTTGGCATGATAAAGAACCATCACTGATCAAAGGCCATGAGTACCGAGTACAGGTCTAAATTTGAGGCCCTTCAGCGGTATATGGTGACGTCTCTGTATGAGTGAAAAATTCACAAATATGAGGTAAAACAACACACATTCAATCAATTAATCTTTCTATGCTGAAACCAAATATCAAAAAGAGTATGTTTTAAAGATCAATTCAATAAAAGTCTTCTTTAATGGAATTAATTTAACTTGAGTTCAATGATAAAACTATGGGATTTTCAAGCAATGGTGATAAAAGCTTAACCTTTTTGTCAAACAATAAACATATATACGAGTATTAGTGAAATCACTTAATTTTTGTTGGGGATTAATTTTCGTTGTTTTTATTGAATGATGAGACCAAATGTTAAAATTTCAAACTTACATGTAACATATCATGTTTCTTCTTCAACTACGAAATCAAATCTAAACAAATCAGTATCTTTTCTTTAAACATTAAAAATTTAACACAACGAAAATAAACAAACAGTTTACATGTATATTAAAACCTATACGGCTATATAAAACTTTGACGGCTAGTGCTGGATTTAGTTTGTAAAAGATTTTATTAATGGTTTATTACTAGTGAGAAATTATGCTTAGATATAGTTTTGTTGGTACATTCGTTATTATTTTTTTTTTATTCTTTATGACTTCGTACTCGTAGAAATAGATTAAAGTAAAAACATTCAATATTACAATTCATCATGAATAATTCATAGAAGCAAATATGTTAAAATATTTTCCCAGGCTAAATATTCCTAATGGCAATTTTGTTTTCAGATATAAATGGTTAAAAGGAGGGGAGAAGCAGAAGTGACAGACTGATGAACGAAACCCGTTCACTATCCACAGCTGAACAGAAGAAAATGGCGGTAAAATCCAAAAAATATCATTTTCACAGAGTTTTAGACCAACATTTATTGTTAAAAGATCGCTTAGAATATATTATTTATTAAATATTTTAGGCCTTTGCTCTTGTGTTGATTGTAATCTCCCTACAGCTGACCTTAGTCAGCGGGTGTAGTTGTGCTAGGAGCGATCCTCGAACTAAATACTGCCAATCTGATTATGGTAAGTCTCTCTCTCTCTCTCTCTCTCTCTCTCTCTTAATACGATCTCTCTATGTTATATTAAGAGAGAGAGAGAGAGAGAGAGAGAGAGAGAGAGAGAGAGAGAGAGAGAGAGAATAATTTTGATGTCTTTGTATTTTTTTATTGTTCAACTGTCAAGTACAGAATATACGATGGTTGTTGGCATAAATCTCAATTAAGGGATTTTATGCTTATTTTTCTTTTGTTCAATTTTCAATTTTCTTTTATATATATATATATATATTTCACTTACATAGGTTGAGATGTATTTGACCTTATACTAAGGTAAAAGATAAATAGCAATTCATGCTTACTGTACAATATCATTTATTTTTGAAAATACAATGCATAACGTCGAGTAAATCATAATATAAAAAGGTTGACATTTCTTTCAGCTGTTTGAGGTAAAGTTACAAATTTGATTAATGGTGATGAAGAAATAGGATCTAAAGACAGAATCTTTGAGGTAGAAATATCAAAAGTTTACAAAGGCGTATGTATCTACATCATCTGAGGGAAACATGAATTGCTTTTCCTAGCTGTAATACTTTGGTCCGTCTGCTTTTCGTTCGAAAATATTATATATATATATATATATATATATATATATATATATATATATATATATATATATATATATATATATATATATATATATATATATATATATATATATATATATATATATAATAGGTTATCACGAATGAATGGATTCCATTTCGTGGCGAAACTACTAGTAAAGTTTATTTTAAAAAAATGTTTCGAAATGCTTGCTCTTTAGTTTAGAATTTTCCTCAGTAGTCCAAATATAAAAGGAAACAATTTTTTGGACAGTAATTTGTACAGCTTGCATTTTTTGAATATAGAAATAAAGATGTTACTTACATGTATATTCTCTATTCTATCCGTACAGACTGCACGGTTAAATCGAGACGCAAAGCATGACAGCAATAATAAAGTGGAGAGTCTTTTGTATCCTCCAGTTTTATTTATTTTTTTATCATTTATAATACTGGTAGTTATCGGTTGTAACAAGAACACTAATTGTCTTTGTCAATTCCTGGGTTGGTCTTGGGAATATAGTCTCTGTATATTGAAGATTTTCCGCAGATAACATATATAAAGGACAAATGCGGACTGGACTACTAGTATGTGATATGGTATACCTTTCCCCCGTTGATGACTTAAACACAGATGAGGCATATACGGAGGAGGATTGTAAATGCAAAGTAAGTAAGATATTTCCTTTGACGGCTTGTTACAATTTAATAAAATTAATTTTACGAATCTTTCTAGCAATGACTATATTTTTGGCGGAATAACGGCGTATGAAAATGTCTCCTTTTCTGCATCTTAAAATTATTACAAAACATTGAATTTTGTTAATTTTTTAAAACATTTAAAGACTGAATGAAATTTTCTGAAGTGACTAACATTAATAACTATGGCCTAAATTTTTAAAATATATGAAATAAATTCAACTTTCTAAACGACCTACAGTCTTATTAGCTTTTGAAAGCTTCCGATCTAAGAACAGAACAGATTTGAGCAAAAAATCAGTAAAAAGTGTTTTTCCTCTCATACTAAACGGTCAATACTTTTTGTTTTCGTATCACTTTGTATCTTGATATGACTACTTTACCATATGTGAGAATAGGAAAAAATTTAAACATATGAAGTATATCAAAATAACTAATATTCCCTAAAAATTTAATTAAAATGGAGGAAATTCGAATTAGCCAATACCTATTTTAGTTATATTCTTTATCTTAATGTGGTAGTATCATCTGATAAACCTTATATGGTGAGATCTTTTTATGCAAAAAAGAAAATCATTTAATCTTTAAAAATAAATGGAAACATCAAATGATTGGCAACAGTATATTTTTATTCTTGATGTCAAGGAAAAAGATGATGACCTTGACCTGACCTTGCACCTAAAATAAAATTGTCAAATTCAATCTCATTGATAGCAGCACTTGGTGATATCGTTATCTTAAATCTGAAATTTTCATTTATTTTTAGATAAAACAAATATGAGAAGAACCCCTCCTTAAATTATGTAACTATTAATTTTCGATCATCCAAGCGTCATTTTATTTGTTATTTCACATTCGCAAATAATCACTGTCATTAACTGGATTTATTTAATACAAATTTTCATAAATCATGAACAGTGCCACCAGTTATCGTTTAGGATGGGGGTAATTACTGTGCACGTGGGTCTGTCATTACAACATTTGGTATATTTGTGCACAATTGTTTATTTGCTGGTTTTTGCCCTTAAAAATCGATGTAAAGTAAAACTTATCTCATCCGGACACCAAATGGGATTAGACAACATTTCGGATTAGATATTTTTAGACATTTCAAACAACTGAATTTACAGAAATGAGCTGAAAACTTATATCCCATTTGGCAAGACTTCGGAATACAAAACATCCAGAGTAGACAAGTATAGTAGACACTGTATTTTTTAACATAGAAAATATAGAATGAAGTATTTAGACTAATTTTATATGTGGAATTGATAAACTAACAAATAATTTTTGTTTTACATTTAGTGAACAATTATTTTCAAACTGGTTATCAGGGTTCAAAGTTGTACAATGAAAATATCTCCAGATAAAACACATGTGCTAAATCATACAATTTACATGTATAATGGTTTATTTATTAAATATTAATGTTTAATACAGTGTTTACAACAGTAGTGGCAAACACTGAATTAAGTGAGTAAATAATTCAATAATTAAGTGATTTTAACAATAGTACCAAATTGTTTATTTACAGTTGTTAGTGGATTATTTCGAGTCGTTGTTTTCTTTCGTGTAGAAATTTAATTAAAAAAAAATAAAGTATGGAATAAAATACAACAATGAACTGAAAAATATTTAATTTGGTATGATTATGTATGTAACAGATGTTGAATTCCTAGATCACTACTACAATCAAACACTTTATCCTCTATTATGTATAAATCATTGTAGCAATTGATGGGATAATTTGCTAGACAAAATGACCCTGATGGCAGTTTTAAATGTATAAATGAAGCGGGAGTAACAGAGTTACAGCTGGTGAACGAAATCTGTGTTCCATCCAGATATACAGAGAGGACTATGGCGGTAAAATTACGAGGTTTCATTTACATTTTTAAAGGCTGTTATAAAGCAATATCTTTATTGTCAAATGTTTTGATTAATTTTTTGATTGATTGTATGTTGTTTCACGTCCCATTTGAGAATTTTTCACTCATGTAGATACGTCACTATATACCGCTGAAGGACTTAAAATTTAGACCACTACTCGGCACTCAGGGCCATTGAGCAGTGAGGGTTCTTTATCGAATCGTGCCAACACCTACCGTGACACGGGGCCTCTGCTTTTAAGGTCTCATCCGAAGGACCCTCAAACGTTTTGAGAAGAAATCTAAAATAATAATTATTATACTTTTTAGGCCTTTGCTCTCATGATTATTGTTATCATGGTACAGCTGTCTGCTGTTACCGGATGTAGTTGTGCGTTCAGAAATCCTCGAACCAAATACTGCACGTCTGAGTATGGTAAGTCGCTATTTCCATTCTCTCTCTATCTCTGAATATAATCTTTGAATTTTTACAATGTATTATACATGTACTAATAAAAAAAGAAAAGAGAAAATAGTATAACTGTTCGTTATCTTCACCTTTTACATTTATATATCTATTTAAATTTAAAGGCAAATACAGCATATACAATGCTACAATTGTTATGATTATGAACTTGGAATTGTAGGCATTTTGTTATTTCTTTTGTTTATTTTTTTCACTATTTTTGTTATTTTTCTTAACAGTGATTGAAATATAAGAAAAATATCATAATAATGAATTTGACTTTGTACCAAGTTAGAAGACGCACAATTAGGCATGCGTAAATACTGTACAACAATCTTTTTTCATGTTGGAAAGTTTAATTAAAATTGTTTACATCAAATTACCCAAAATGTTGACATAATATATTTTTCAGCTGTTCGTGGTAAGGTTACAAAACTGACTTATGGAGATGGCTTAATAGGGGTAAATGCAGAAAGAATCTATGAAGTGGAAATATTGAAAGTTTATAAAGGCGTAAGTATTTCTTTAATTCTATGTATATTCTTTAAGATAATCATTGGATGTTCTTATCTCACTCTAATACTTTCGTACGTCTGCTTTTCGGCAAAAAATTTCATGTGTACTATTTTTATATGAATGTTTGAGTAAATTCCTTCAATTGTTATTGTTACATTTCTTATAAGAATATAATTGAGGAAAAGGAAGGGACGGTGCAAATTCGGACGGCAGGATCTGATTCTGTGTGTGGTGTAGGACTAAAAGTAAATAAAGAGTATCTTATAAACGGTAAGACACCCAAATATTCTACAAGATTTTGGAAGTAAATAAGACATTGTGCTGACTTAAGATTTTCCTGAGGTTGATTTATCGTGCAATACATGTAGCAAGTAATGCATTGTTGTAATTTTATTGTTCAAAAAGTGTTTTTTTGAGAAATTTCCTAAATCTGTCTTTTCCATGTTTGAAAAAAGAGATCTATCTATTTAGATAGAAGTCCTTTTTTCTAAATACACATATTCTGTCTTGACCAGGGCTCTAATTGGCGACTAATTTAGTCGCCATGGCGCCTTAAACTTTTGATTGGAGCCTAGAAATTTTCCATAAGTCGCCAAACTGGCGACCATTTCAAATTGACTCGGCGATCGTCGAATTCGGAAACTTTTAACAATTTTTATCTTTCTGAAGAAACGAAAATAAATTTTAAAAAGAGGAAATTATTTTTAGCATTGGACACGTATTTTCTTAGTCACCTTTTTGTTTTTTAGTAAGCATACGCCCCTCTATTGATTACTATTAACTTTAACAAAAAGAGCCTGGCGACTAAAAATTTCCATTGGCGACTAAATTTTTTTGATTAGGCGCCAGTTGGCGCCTAAATTCTAAAGGTCACTTAGAGACCTGTTGTCAAATCTAGTTGCACTACAGTTGAGACATTCCAGCAATAATTATAATGAAAGTTATAATTTTGGGATTGTTCCTATTTTATTTCTTTTTTCTTCCTTTCTGTTTTGTATTGTTTATATTAGTTAAAGGTTGTAAAAAGAACACCCACAGTCTTTGCTAATTCCTGCCTTGTACATGGGACTAGATTATCTCTATCATCAAGGTTTTCCACAGGTTACATTCATAACAGACAAATGAGGATAAGGTTATGCGATATGATGTTCTTTTCCCATGTCGATGGCACAAACAGAGATTTTCCGACATATTCCGAGGATGATTGTAAATGCAAAGTAAGATTTGATTTGCACATCGATTTAACAAATAAATAAATAAATAGATAATTTTTTTTAAAAAATGCAATTGATGTCAATGCAAAACTTTCTATTGAATAGTCTGAATTTAAAAAAAAAATATATAGGTATTTTTAGATTCATAATATAAACATATTGTAGATTGAAAATATTATACTGAGAGTAGGCCACGATAAACCCGAGAAGGTGTGTGCTTTAGGAAATAGATTCCGTTGCTCTTCAGCTTCTGACACTCCAGGTGACCTGGCAGAGTGTAAATATAACAGCAATACCGACGACTGTGACTGGACCTGCTAGAGATTTGTTGCAATTCAATAAAATCTACTTTGACCATTCTCTGGTTTTCCCCTGCTTTTTTTATGATTTCATGGATAACAAAATATAATACAGGTAAAGTATAATAACAGTCTACTTAAGCGTTCACTAACAATTCAGCATACCTGCAGAAACTGACTTAAAGTGAACTTGACAGTGAAACCCATACACAATAAATAATGCATTACAATTATTCTCTTTATTAATAAATATACACAACAATAAACTAAGCAAAGGGGAGTAATCGAATCTTGAATCTGCCTTTTGATTGGCTAATTTAGATATTGACTAATGAAAATCTCGAAATTCGAATTTCGAATCTCGTATTTCGATTTTTGTACTTAAAATCTCGAATCTCGAATGAACCTTCTGAGCTTTCGTACCTTACCAGTAGATATCAGCAAATTATCATTGACTAGGTGATGACAGATACATGCGGTTTTATGTTCAGTGTCCTACAAAGTTCCATCCTTGGACAAAAGGTATGTATTTCTTCCTTGTAAGGTCGGAGAAATCTGACATCGACAAGGTTCTTCATTGTTTGGCCGATGACATGCAAGTGTACATGATTTTAAACCTCTAGAAAGCTGGATAAGTTATTTCAAAAGGCTTAGAGGCTGCCTCTGGACATATACACCTGGATCATGGATGTAAGGTAATTTCTGAAACTGAGATATTCAAATTCACGTAGAACATCAAACAACAAATGCTCAAATTTGCAACTGTAAGTCAGAGACAGTATCATCATCAGTGACACAACTGTCAGAAATTTTAAAGTGCACTTTAAAAAGTACTTTAGCATGGAAAAGCAGGTCTTATCTGTCATAAAATTGTGTCATTACCATCTTACCAACAATGGAGGTATCCAGCACCTTACAACAAAGAATGAATGAAAGACCGTCTTGAGTTCAAGCACAGGATACTTTGCTTTTCAGCTTAAGCCAAGTCTTACTCCTACTCCTTAGTTACAAAATTTGGTAAATATACGCCAATATTTTTAGAGTTACTCTGCAGAATCTCACTCAAAATACTCAAGATACAAGATTCTCGTCTTTATATATTAACAGATATTAAACAGCCAATACAATGGTAAACAAATCTTTTTGCATACATAAAAGTTGAAAAAAAAATCTGTTTTACAATTTTAGCCCAAGTAAATAACAAAAGGTGATAATTTTTTTTATGCGATGATATTGAAATGTACTGTTCATTGCAAAGTGTTCAACAAAGAACATTTAGAGAGAAATGATCAGGAAATAAAATTAAAGAGGACAGGATGTTTCCAAATACTGCCCATTGATTTTCTTCAACACTTTCTCGAATGTGTTCAGAATCACATAGCATTGATCAAAGACCCATGTGTGATAATCAGCCTTATGTATTTAAGATCTGAACGATATATTCAATAAGAGATTCTTTAAAACAGCATAAAACATATATAATCACATGTATTCCATGAGTGAATGACGAATATTTTGAAAATTGAAGTTCGAATAAAACTCCAGTATTTGGATAACCTTTTCTTCAACTTTGTGGGATTATTTGCTAATTGTAAGCGATAATGCCGGCAAAATTCAGATTGAACTACCATAGTTATCTTTCTTCTTCTATCTAAACATTTTCAAGACCTTCAATGTATTATTTTGTAATTTGATGTACAACCATATTTTATTTTTGTGTATTTGTATGAAATGATTAGTTATTGCTTAAGAGCTAATTATTTTGTTTTAATACGTTGGCCATTGCTTTTCTAGATCTGTTCTAATTTTAAAAAGCAAAGTGTTTAGAAGTAGTTTAGAAGTTTTGAATCAGTAGATGTAGTGCTCTCTTCACATCTTATTTGAAATCATTCACTCAAGGAATCGATTCGATCAGAAATTTCCAATAGAATTCCAAACAGCACGTACCTTAGTGTATTAGAATTGTTTCGCAAAAATACATTGGAATTGGACGTATTCCAAAAACAAATGGACGTGTTACAAAAATATATTTACCTAATTTTCTTTTTAGAACACTTGATACGTTCCTTACAATAACGATATATTTTGTATTTTGTCAGATTTTGTTCAGTTTTTTTAATTTCTCTTATTTTTGTACTGATTTTAAAAAAGAAAACATCCTTTATTTTAGGAATTTCATTGTACATATTAATACTGGTATTCGTGATCGGAAGGTCGTGTGTTCGAATCACGCCCGCGACTGACCGAAGTCGATAAAAAATAGGTAGCAACTTTTCCTTCGCCAAGCGCTCGGCACTTTGGAGTGAACGTTGCTGGTCTTTCGGATGAGTCCTTAAAAACCGAGGCCCTGTATCACGGAAGGCCTTGCACGATAAAGAACCCTCACTGCTCAATGGCCCTGAGTGCCGTGTAAAGGTCTAAATTTGAAGCCCTTCACCGGAATATGGTGACGTCCCAATATGAGTAAAAAAAATTCTCAAACGGGACGTAAAACAACACACAATCAATCAATCAATCAATCAATCAATCATCCGGGATTTTCTTGATATTATACATTTAAAGATGGATTCATCTCATATTTTCGTATTTCAAAATTAATGAAATTTTTACAGATTCGTGCATAAAATATATGGAGATAACGAACAGTATTCAAGCTCAAAAGTCCATTAAACAATATAAAATAGGAGCAGAGCAAACACGGACCTCCAAAACATCAGAGGTGGGATCAGGTGCCATGGAGGAGTGAGCATCCCCTGCCGACAGGTCACAGCCGCCGTGTGCTCTTTGTCATGACTGGGAAATAACGGGAAAATCCGTCGACAATTAAATATGTAAATAATGGCCTAACAATTAGTATGAAAAACGTCAGTCAGCATTTGACTTAATGATAAATTGTATTTGCTGACAAGATCATTGTATCGACAAAAGAGCTTACGAAATGATGACTTTAAACGAGACTGCTGATATTCTTGTTTCATCAACTTGTTTGTCAATTATTCACCTCGTTTTAGAAATTGTACATGGAGTATGCTCTTGTGTATCGAATCAACTGAGAGATATAAACCCCGTATGCAGGTGATGAAGGTATATTGCTACATAAGTAAGGGAAGTTGACGATTGAAAAGTTAAAGTCATCACGTTTATCATAAAGCTTGGTTGTTAGATTACCATCAACGTCTTTTTCAAGTAAAATATCCAAATATGAAACAGACGTGTCAGACTCTGTGGTATCTTTTATCGTTCCTAAGTGATAGTACCAACTAAATTAAATTTAATCGTCGTCTCGTTTCAGAAGCAAGGTCAAGTCAGATCTTTTTTTGTCCACATTAAGGATGACAAATTACTGTTGGCAATCATGTGATACTTAAATATACATCTAGACATAGGATGAAAATATGTATTTTTTGCGTGAAAGGTTCTCATATAGCACTAGGAAACTGTGTTACGTCGCGGGTTCGAATCCACTCTGTGAAGAACGGTCCTTCGGATAAGACCGTAAAAACGGAGGTCCCCTGTTCCAGTAGGTGCTGACACGAAAAAGATCCCTCACTGCTCAAAGGCCGTAAGTGCCGAGTACAGGTCTAAATTTGCAGCAAGTGGTGGCGTCTCAATTTGAGTGAAAAATTCTCAAAGGGGCTTTAAACAAACAAACAAACAAACAAACAGCGAATCAAATTCTGAAAAATAATTCAATTAAAATAGATAACATTAATTCCAATCCCCTCTACATTTCCTATTTTTAAAAGAAATATCAACTATTTTCTATTCTTTATATATAAAATTTTCTTATTTTTTTATATAGTGTAAAAGGGACATAGATATACAGAGTTATTCAAAAATAAAAATGGTTGACCGTTAAAGAAGAAATAAAACACGGTTTACCGATTTTTCACTCAAACTGTTTAGATATTAAAAGCTTACGAAAGATAACATGATTGTAGTATGTTTCGAAAATTAAATTTATCATATATATTCTAAAACTCAAGTCCGTGTTTACGATTTTTTACAATAGGTATCTTAGTACATGTATGTCATTGATGATATGGTCTACTAATTGCGGAAACTGGACGTTCATTTTCCAAAAAGGTATGAATATATTTAACCTGTCTTCCACACGGATCTATGTCATTTTTTTCCAGCAACTTATGACATAGAGATTAATAGTATTCATCTTAAGCATAATTAAAATATCGCATTAAATACATATCTTGACATTTTAAAAACAAATTCCACACACTGTAAATAGAACTTCCATTGTCATCGTGTCATTTCTAATAAATGTTCCGATTATCTATGTTTTCCTGGGAAATCAACATGGTAAATTATATCTATCTATAGCCTTTTAGCTGCGTATAGCTCTTATGGCGTGGCAAGATGACAAGTCTAGTTTAGCTTATGAAATTCATTATTGAAAATTATTTTGAGGAATTATACTGTTTTTAGCTTCGACGCTTTATTCAATGATTATGTTTAATAATGTAATGATCATATAACAATCAGTCAAGTTTTGGAGTATTTATCAAACAATACCGTTCAATGAGAAAATTAAGAACTCAGCCACATATTACCAACTTACAACGGACAAGCACTGAAGATAAATAAAGTACCAAGTCACTTAAAACAAAAATACTTCAAAATATTTAGTTATCTCACACATTTCTCAAGGTGGCGGAAAATTCTTTATTGAAATTAGTGTGATACAGCCATTCCAAGGGGGATACCTCATGTTGCCAGGGTAGCATCGTGCCTCTGTTTTGCACACATCTGAATATCAACAATGATGTTTTAGACTCATGACAGAAATTAGTAAAGCATGTTGTAGTGGTTATTATTATGGTTATTCAAATTCAATAAAGGATCTTTATTTTACTTCTAGAATCTATCCATTTTGGGTTATAATTTGCGTATTTTTCAATCATCCTTGATTCCTTAGGTTTCTGAATAGGAATAATGAATGTGTTCGCTCCATTATAACTTTACTTCTTGTCTTTTATCAAATTAAAGTGCATCACGACTAGAAGATAAGAAATAAATAGATATTTCATATTCTATTCACTCCTAAAGGAGTTGATTTGACAGTAAGTATACTATTTTTTTCACAATCCTAGAAAAAATCTTAACCAATTGTTTCCCATTTCAGAATACAGACGAAAGAGGAAGAGAATAAAATAACTTAATCTAATTTTCTGAAAGGCAAGAACTGTACTCAAGATAATTATTCCTTTCTTTATCATATTTTCTAATAGCTCAGACAGAAGTAACACAAGCTTAAAGTACATTTCTTTTCATGTTCCAAATTAAAACACCGTTAGCGGGACATTCATGCCCTAGGAACATATGAATGAATAAGGAAAAGGAACCATTATTGAAATGCAATTTCTATTCAGTTTGTCTGGAATCTTTTTTAAAACATGACAGGATACGAATTTGATATCAGATCATAATGTTTAAGATCAGTACAATTGATATGAATGTCATAACTTGTTTAACAAATTGACATGGATCCGAATGATCTCAATTTTTTGCGTGTTCTTAATTATTAGAACTTGTTTTTGAAATACACCCTCCCTCTCCCCTCCCAAAAAAGTTTATGCTGTGGAGAATTAGAAGTCTACTATGATCAATTATAATTGATATGTGATTCAGTCCAAATTAGCAGAGTTGTCGTTATTGTATTATCTAACCTGTATCACCAAAATATTAATTTGTAATTTTAGACACAAACATATTTCGGTGACCATGACGTTGATGTATTTCTATATTTAAAGTGATCAGTGTATGTAAAAAAATAAAAAAAAAGATTTAAATATGATATTCTTAGTTCCAATAACTTTCATTATTTTGACCATTGTGTTTTTTTTCTGTTATGATTATACATATTAAAAAAGTATTGAATCTGTAGGACAAATGATCGTTTCACGTCATATTTAAAATCATTCAACAAGGAATGAATTCAATTAGAATGTTGTTACCTACCTTCTGAGTATATTGGAATTATGTCTCACAAAAGCATTGAAATTTGACGTATTCCAATGTTATAAATAGCATAAATCTACATATGATTTAATAAATGTACTTTAGATTTAGTTTTCGATATTTTCATTAACCCACTAACTAACGCTTTACTTATCATTTGTAAATATATTTTTGCACCGATCTTAAGTTACTGATTGATTAAGAAAATGATCATGACTCCCAACTCATATTTAGCTTGATTTTCCTTTTGACAGCAACATTTTTTTCTTCTTGCATTGACAATCTATTTTATAAGTTTTAACGGAATGAAAATTTTCAGTGATATTTTTCCAATTGATTTCTTCCATTCAGTGACTTAAGAGTGTCAAGCAATAAGCATTTCCCTAAACAAAATAATGCCAAATCTGCCATCTTTTTAAATATATGCTTTTGAAAAAAATATGCAGAAATAGTTCGAGATTTCTTATATTAGTTTCTGATGTTTCTCAATAGGTGTATTTCATTCCCTCCCCCAACCCCTACTGTTTGTGAAAACTACACGTTCATTTTCAAATATATTTATCTATTTTAAGCTCTAGCTTTTCCCCTTGGTATCAATAAATCAGTAGATTTACCGCAATGACAAAATTATCTAAAAATAATTTTATTTCAGTGATGTTATAAAGTTTTAAAAGGGGTATTTATTTTTGTTTCTTTTTTTTTTTTAATTTTATGTCCTTCTTATAGACTGAATGTGCATGAATCTAGCGTTTTCAAATGTGATTGTAAGACGAAATAAGTACAAATTGCCAGTAGATTATACAATTTTGGACGATTTATTTGGGGGAAATTACGCATGGATATTGTTTTTTAAATCCTCTTCCGCATGACTGGTTTGAAAATTATAGTTGATGATTTACTTGTAATGATCATATGATGATCAGTGAAGTCTCTAAGTATAACACAATTCATGATACTTAAGATAACATAGTTTTGTGATCTATAAAAAAAATACCGTTCATTAAGATTAATATAAAGAATTCAAGAAGCAACAAATAATAATACAGACAAGTTTTTGTAGAAGAAAAACAGGTACCAAGGCACTCAAAACATCATAACTGCATAAAATTCTCACACAAATAATTGGTGGCATTGTGTTTTTTTAAAATTCAGATTAGTGTCTGTTACAGTAGCAGTGGCCGTCTTTACAAGTCGCCATTCCAGGAGGACAACCAATCATGTTGCCAGTTGGACATTGTTCTGCTGTTGTGCATGAATCTGAAAATCATGATATACTGATGTTTTAGACAAGTGACAGCTGTTAGTAAAGCATGTGGTAGTGGTTATTTTTACAATTATTTAGGAGTCTTATTAGTCCAAACTCGTTGGAAGCAATTAATTTGTTTGACCGATTGAATCTTTCGATTTTGGTTTTAATCATTTATTTTTGTTTAATATAATGCATTATTTATTTCATTTATTTATAGGTAAAATGCATGTCACTGCTTAATGTTTATTTTAATATCTGGTTGGCTCAAATTATACTTCCTTATCTCTGCTAAAAAAGAAGATATTTATAGAATCTCTCCTTCAGGAGTTGTTTGTCAATCCTTAAACAAATTTCTACATTCCTAGTAGAATACTTAACAAAATGTCCCCTTCCACTTCAGAACTCAATTAAAATACCAAAAGTGATCTTATTTGATTTGAATGCAACCTCTTAAGACAGGAAGTAGTTCTTCAGCCTAGCATACTTAAGCATGTGATGTTTATACGTAGGCTCTGAAAACTTACGATTTAGACACGTGCAGACCTTCCGGACACACTGCTCATGGTAATGATCTGGACAAAAATTTGGGCAAGGATGGTCTTCATCACAATGTATTTGGCTTGATACGTAACAGACTAAATGTAAATGAGTTGGTTGTTATGTGTCATGTATTACACATTATTTAATTATATGAACAATGTCTGACCAGTTATGTAATCCTCTCCTGGTATGTTCATTTTACAATTATTTATTTTCAATGATCCTTCAGTATCTTTGTTGCAATAATTGTGAGTTCTCTCTCTTCTTAAAAAAAAGTTATATCTAAGAATGAAAGAAGATTTATATTCATATATGTAATTAAATAAACCTTTTTGAAAATAAAATAATTGACTTTTATACACTCTGTAGTTATGTGAACACCACAAAAATCAGACAATATCACATATAGATGAAATTAGATTTGTAAGAAACCTTTTACTTTATAATATAAAAGAAGATACTAGCATAAAACACCTCGAAAGATATGTCATTTATTATCCAGGCTAAAAAGAACATGATATAGCCTTGTCTTTACTGAGTAAGTGATAAGAATAACATATAATTTCCCAAAATTTTGAAGTAGCCTTCGTAATACAGAAAGAAAGAAAATGCTCTCGATATCTTACTTCAGGAATGTTAACATACGACCTTCAAACACTATAAGCCAAACAAGACATGAAGCATTGATTTATAATTATTAATAATTATAATAAAATTGATTTGAAATTCCGGTTCCATACATCGGAAGTCATTGAAAACCTCTCTTGTCCACTTTTCGATGATCCATTGTGTTCCAATTTGAGGCAGTACGAACCACTCAGGAGTGTGATGAATTTCATTTTTACAATTATGTACCTTGTTTAACGACACTTTCAAATAACATGCATTGCTATCAATATACCCACTTAATTATATTCCTGGTGGTATATTTCAGGCGAGGTCGGATTTCAACGAGGGTGATTATATCTGCATGCTGTCGTAAATAATTCCTACAATTGCTTTAAAATGCCAAAAATACAAAAGCAACCGACGAGAAGAAATGATTTTTGAAAAGAATCATGTCCTCTTGGCGTCTTAAAAAAGAGATAAATCCTTTATGATTAATATTCTAAGAGGCTATGTGAAAATAATGATGAATTGATGCGTTTAAGTAAGAATTTATATGAAGCTAGTTCCATAATGCTGATTTATTGATTGATAAATATTGAACATCCTTTTTAAATCAATCACAAAATTACTGCTTTATATTGACTTGAAAAGTCCCAAATCCTGTTTCGTTACTCTGAGCAAGATGCCTTACGATTTAATCCTACAATGGACGTATGTACAATTGTTATCTTACATGTATATACTTGACCAAATTGATAAGAGAGACACGGCAACTATAGCTATAGAACGAACTATTTTATCCTTTTCTAGAGGTAATAAGGATACCTTTAATCAGAAATTTGGAATGTTTTTTTCTGTCTGAAATAAATTCTTTGATAACTTTATTACGCTAAAATGTTTTTTTTTTTTTTTTTTTTTTTTTTTTTTTTTTTTTGTTTGCTAAAGCAATGTAAAAATCAAATCAATAAGAATTAAACCTTACATAACAAAGTGAACAGTGCTTTCGTAAAGTCATCCGTGGAAGAACATAAAATGAAAACTGTTTGAATCTTGTTTTGAGAAAAATATTTCTGTCTCATTAAGGTATTGTGCAATTATTTATGTACAATACAACCTTCTAAACTATATTCCAGATCGATTTATATTACCAAAAACTTCCACATATATAAATATCTTATACTTCTATCATATTACTAGCACTAGTATGTAGATACTTTCCACTTACACCAACCTATGGCGATTTCCATTGTGAATTATGAAATTAAGCTATTCTATAGTTTTTTTCTGAAGAGGAATACAAATTCGGTATAAAAATATCCGTAAAATGCTCTTACCGGATCCTAAACATAGAATAAATACCAGGCTTTTCATATTGGAGATCTATATAGAAATATTTAAGATCTTGTACGGGAGATAAAGGTAATTTGGAATTGGACATATATATACACTGCGAATCATGTCAACAGGTGCATGCTGATAATAATGTCATATATATACCTGAAATCTATCTAAAACAAAATAATAAACAAAACAACAGCACTTATACATAGCTTTATTTTGTATATATTGTTGTTGTTTCCACACACAAGTATTAAGCTCATTAGATAATTATGTAATATCTTCAAGTTTTTCTTACAGTGAATTACTTCCTTGAATTCATTGCTTGTTAATGGAGTGTACCTACTTCAAGCTTTTAATCTCCATCTACAGTAAATATTTTTGTTCGTCGTCTCAATTTTCTGCTTTAGTTAATTCATCTACACGCCCTATCTTTTTCCTTCTCTGTCTTTTCTAAAATAACGTATATAACAATAGTTTTGTGATTGAATGATAACGGAAATAACTACATGGTAGACGAATGTTTAAGCTATAGAGTACATCACCTTTGTGTGGTAAAATATTAAGGTAGTATAGTATTCTCAAAAACATTAAGACAAGTACTAGTAGTACACGTAGTATGTCTATTAAAAACGTCGTTGAACGTGCATTTACAAGTATTTTCACACCCCTTCAGCTTAAGGGAACATGTTTTTTTGTTAAGTTGTCTGCTTCATTTTTACGTCGTTAGAAATGATTTGTTGAAGATTTGGGTACTTTTACATCTTCTAAGCTTACATTCACAGCTGTTTATTGACGTAACTACACGTGATTCATGAACATGCACAACTGCTCCTTTGTCGTTATTCTGAGCAAAGGATACTCAATGCTGGATTTCTTTTCATATAGCTCAAGAAAACACAGTCATTTGCCAGAAAAAGCCCTTGGCTTAAGTATTCAATATTTATTCATGTCGCCCGACTGAGATTCAATATTTTCTAGGTTGGTCGCAGATCTTGTTGTGTTATCAGTTTTAGCACTGGTACTACTGCACTCATCGGACGATTTTTCGGATTTCCCGCGCTTTTTCCTTATAAATCGGAACAAACATTCAAGATTTTCCCTTCGGAAGAAAATGTAGACAAGTGGGTCTAGAATCATATTAAAAGAGGCCATCCTGCTGGCATGGAGGTCGGCATTATTATCCTTCATCGATCCACTCTCATTTACAATGGCTCGAATCTGGAAATAAAATATTAGAGTGTAATAATATGTCACTTAAGTTTTATGACGCTAAATAAATTGTGTTTATTGGTATTATATAAACCCAATTCAATAGAAACTTTAAATCAGTGAATGCCACCAGCTAATTGATCGATCTAACTTCATAAAAAGTACCCGTTTTAACTGCACAGGTTTAAATAAAATCCAAGATAATAGAGAGGTTGAGATTTCAAACGTGTACGTTTACGGGTAGGTCTAGAGGGGAATTCATTTTTTCTTCGAGTATTACGCCATAGTTTTAGTGACACGCGTTCCTACAACTTGTAGAGTGGCATCTACAAGTAAGTAAAATAAGAGGTGCACAATGGCACTATAAAATACATATTCTGTGAAAGTATCATTAAATTCTACATAGTGGTATAGGAGGAGTTGCAGATAAGAGATGGGTACCCCAAAGCGACAGACAGACTAACACCTTCATCACTATACACCCCCTTCCCGCTTTTCAAGCCGAAGTATAATGAAACAAATCACATAAATTTTGTTTTAGTTAAGTGTAAAAAGTCAATTTGTTAACTATGAATCTTGTAAGCGACAGAAAACATCACGTGGACGACAGGTTCACGACTCTGCACTACTCTTACCGAAAGGAAATTTTAAATAAATTAAATATTTATTACTTTCTCGAATCTATTGTCCTTTTTTAGCATAAATAATATCATATGACGAATATAAAATACCTGTATCGAGGCTGCAATGGTTTTCAGTAAGATTTGAATTGTTAAATAGGAAGCTTTTAACAATGAAACCACTGTATTATAGAGAATATCACCAAGGGCAGGGCTATTTGGAATGCATGATTTGTGACCATGCTGCACAAAAGTTGATGTATTGTCTCCTAACATTTTCGTGTATATATATATAATTATGATTTTTTGTTTTTTACAGTGGACTGAGAATTTTAAATAAATTTCCTTATTACGTGATGAATGTTAGAGATGATTATTTCATGAGAAAGTCAACTCAAGGAGGACAATACTTAATGTAGACAAGACTTGTCTCTTAATATATTAAATATAATAAATATTATCTATTTAGAGTAATGTTTTGTGTAGGACTACATTGTGTAACCACATATAACAACACGAATAAAGGGTGACGGTAATAAAATCGGTCTTTTTAAACATTTACATGGAAATTGATATTTTATTAACATTGAATAATTTAATTATATGATTTAAGTTAAACATATAATTAATTTATCATCAAAAAGACACACATTATGTATTACATGAGCATGTTTAGGAATCACAGATTCCATGAATAATTGCAAATACCTCCATTAAATAGGCTACAAGTGTTTATATTCAAATTATTTATGTCTTAACATCAATATCTTTGAGATGATAAAAGAAGATGAGTTGTTTTCAATTTTAAGCACTGAACTGATCATTACGGAAGCGTATTAGTGTAAATTTGATACTTTAATCTGTATTTTTTTCACGTAAGTCTGTAATTTTTTTTTATTGCACAGTAAAATTCACACTTAAATCTGTAAAATTTACGCTTTATTTGTAAACTGTACACTTCAATCTGTAAAATATAAATTTTAATCTGTAAAATGTACACTTTGAGTTGTACATTTTACACTTGATTTGTACGTTTTACACGTTAATTTGTAAGTTTTACGCTTTATCATGAAAATTTTACACTCAAATCTGTAAAATGTACACTTAAATCTGCATTGATTCAAACAGTCAACTCATCTACCTCATATATCATATATAGATATGCTTTAAAAACAGCTGCCGTGTAAGGTGATCCTAAGGTGTCGCTCTGCCCTGCGGGCAACACAAAAATGACCATAAAAGTGTGTTAATTTTACATATTTAAGAGTAAAATTTGCAGATTAAAGTGTAAACTCTACAGATTAAAGTTTAAATTTTACAGATCAAAGTGTCGAAAATGAAAAATAAAAAAATGAAAAAAAAAAGTTTCAAAATGGAACTAATACGCTTCCATAGATAATTAATTCCTACACAATAAGAAATCCTTGTTTTATCAGGTTGACATTTATTGTGACATTAATTGTTTATTAGTTTATGGCAATAACCTTAACAAAGAAACTTCGAAATCTAAATACAACATTGCATCATCAAGACAGTATACAAACACAACATCTTCAAGGTTTTGTTTCGGAAAAAAAAATTTGATTTTCATGATAATAAGGATGACAAATTATTTCATGTTTTTGACTATGCAAATAAGAAATATATAAATCAAGTACTGAAGATTTGTACTAGAAACGCCTTAAGAATATTTTTTGACAAATGCCTGAAGATGTCATATTAAAACCCCTGTGAACTGGTGTGAATTTGGATCATCATCTGAATTTGAATCATCATCTGCAAAAGTCTGCACTCGATATATATTTTATTACAAAAGATGCTTTTCTTCTCTCTCGTTGCATACTAGTATTTTAGCACAACGTAATTTATTTAATTTAGGAGAAAACTGTATAATATGTTAAGTGGCTTTGGCTTCTTGAGGTCAGAATTAATTAGAATAAAACTATGAACAATTGATATATTGTGTTAAAGAAAATTTAAACCTAAACCACGACTATTACAATGTATGAACAGCATATGTATAGAAATTAAGCCCAAATGGAAATCATGGCCCAGCTGCAGACTTGAAAGTCTATCATATCTTCTGAAGGTCGAAGAAAGTTGCATCTACTTGTAAACCTTTTTGATTTATGTCTTGTATTAATAATGTTTTTGCGAAGTTAAAATGTACTGATGAACTTGTGGTTACTGGATTAAAGTGCATTTCCTCAGTCGTTACAGTACATGTTTTGTTTTAGTGGCATTGAATCTCAGCAATTTGTTCATATAATATATATATATATATATATATATATATATATATATATATATATATATATATATATATATATATATATATATATATATATATATATATATATATATATATATATATAGACTATACAGACAAAATTAAAAAAAGAAGAGAGATAGACAACGTATGTCTTATTTTTGCAGTTTATGCAACCTCATGTTGTTTATGCGAACAGGGGCTCACTGTGATTTTTAGAATCATATTCCAGTCTTCAAAATAGGCGTGTTACCAGCATTCTATCTGATCACTTTGATCACTTTTACGAGAAAAGTTTTTTCCCCTGATCGCAAGTTTATGATAAAAAAAAGGTGAAATTATGAAATCCCGGTGTATGTTGCTGTTAAATATTTGCAATAAACAAAGAATATCCTTAATAAGGGTAGTGGAATTTATTAATGCTTTCCTTTATATCCGACTTAAAGATGCGCAATGTTTGTAAAAACTTAGATTGAGAAGAGTTACCGAAGTATCTAGAGTATCTATCACATTATACAAAAACTGGAACTTTGAGTTAGATAAAGGTACACGAATTTTGGTGAATTTAATTGGTTTATTTCATTTTATGCTTAATCTAATGAAAACCCTTCGTATTACTGATCTAAATCAGGAAAAGATGTAAATAGTAACTTAGCAACAAAACTTTATGATAAACGTGATGATTTAAACTTTTCTATCGTCAGCTTATGAAGCATTATACTATTATCACCTGCATGAGTTTATGTCTCCCAGTTGATTCGATACTAAGAGCATCCTCTACGTAAAAACAATTCTAAAACTCGGCAAGCTATTGAAAAATAAGTTGACGAACAAGTATATCGACAGTCTCATTTAAAGTCAACATTTTGCCAATTCTATGGTCGATGCAATGACGTCAGCAAATACAATAAGTTAAATGTTGACTGGCGTTTTCATACTTATTTTTAGGCCATTACTTTCATACTGAATTGTCTACGGATTTTTTTCCGTTTCCCCGATCATGCCAAGGAGTACACGGCGGATGTGACCATTCGACAGGGGATGCTTACTCCTCCTTTGCACACCTGATCCCATCTCTATTTTTTAGAGGTCGGTGTTTGCTCTGCTCCTGATTTGTATTGTTTTAATGAACTTTTGAGCTTGATTACTGTTCGTTATCTTCATGTTTCATTAACGAATTAATATTTCAAAATACATCTATGTGATATAACGATTCATTTTTATATTGTTGTACATAACTATAAAATTGTCTTTTTCTGAAATATGAATATAGAAAATGAACTGAAGTCTTCGTTTTTAAGCATGATGTTTCTTGATTTGAATGTTCATCTGTGTGTATCACAACTAATCGCTTTTCTGCTTAGAACTGACAACATAACTAGCATTGCTCTTTGATGCAAAATATTTCACAACATTCTAAGCCCGCCATGAAATACCCCAGTTATGCTTCATTATTTATTTCAAATCTTATTTTTGTGATATTTTACCGTTATCCTTGGATGAAATATGACATAAAGCAACAAACAGACCAAATGATTAGGTAAACAAACACAAGTTACATGATCGTCACTAATTGAATTAATTTTACAAAATTCTGATGAAGAGAGGTGTTTGAAGTTATTTCCTTCATATGTCGAGAACAATTCAAAATGTTCATTTGATTAATTGTAGACGGCATTTCAAGGTGCAAAGTCAAAAAGTTTAAATGAATATAATAAATACTCTATCTTGCAAATAGAAATATCTGTTTAACTCGTGAGTTTTCGAAAATAAGCCGTCTATTCAAGCAACCACAAGCAATTCTTTATCGGAAAATAATGACAAAATACCTTTTACTTATTTCGACAAAATCCGAATATTTTGTCCTTGCAATTGTTAATTTCATCGTAAAGGACAATGACGTATTCTTAATTTTTGTTAATTATGATTCATTTAGAAAAACAATTGTCCCCTAAACATTTTAACACCTTAAAAACAGGAGCATTTTAAGTTAATGAGAACCTTATTTACGTATGAATCATTTTCACTATTCATCTGTTTGTCATTTACAATGATGAAATGTATTAACTACAAGAGAGACATTTTTGTGTAATTATATCTAAACATCTCTAAGCCCCAGAGGCCTTAGACGATATCTTTACATTTAAGGTTTTATGATTCGATTAACTATATCTCAATATCTCAACCTTGTGTTACTTATAAGGCCCCTATGTTTAGTCTAAAACGCGCTGTCAATTCCATTTATTGTTTAATTAAACTCATTGGAAAATGATTTTAGACATAAGTATGATATAAAGAATGTAAATATTAAACATACGTGTTACGTCTACAGTCTGTATTGCACCATGACAGAACTCAGATTTGCAGGCAAGTTTTCAAAATGCACCGATTGAATTTATACATGCACTATGTATGTTTGACTCTGCGACTTTTATAAAAAAAATCTTTGCCAAAATGCTAATGTTTAAGCATGATTTACCGGTCAAACTTGATATACTAAAGGATCAAATTAAGCTATCTCTAAGAATCAGAATTTTATTGATTTAATAATTATATCCATTTCCAATTTCAAAAAGTATTTTACCTCCAGGGATTTTAAGATAAAAACTTCCTTATACATCTTTTATAACTGCTTTAATTCAACATCCTGGTAAAAATGAGGGAAACATTTTTAAACTTATAGCATTATTTGTTTTGATCATAGATGAAATGTTTTTTATAATTCTATAACATGTTCTGATGAAATATTTCCTCGATCTAATATTTTTAAATGTAGAAAAATTGTGATCTACTTTAATACGTGCTTGTAACCAAAACTTGAAAGAACCTGACCTAAATATTAGGAACTGTAATGGACCAGCTAATGTTACCTGTACTGAATGGTTTGTCTCTATTTTTTCTTTGTCAATGCCACGGATTTGAATTATTTACATTTGTGACAGAGAATACCCTTGGCAAAAGAAAACCTTGACTTTACGATACGGTAAATGGAAAACAACCGTAGTAAATTATAATTGATTCCTCCCAGTCTTGAAGCACAGCTGTAAAAATGATTAGTAAACAAATTTATGCACATTATGTTTTCAATGACAATGCCCTTTTCTCAAGGAATTTACCAAAATAGCTATTTCAAACTCATTACATAAAGAATGTTTCTGAAAAGACACTTACTGCCAGAGGGATTCCGCACGTGGCCGTTACTATGACAATGACAACCAGGAGAATGATGGAGTAAATCTCGTTTCTATTGGCTTTACCACTCTGTTTCTTCCTATCAGTTGCGTTTATTCTACGCAAGGTTAATTTGACTATGACTAGCACATTGAATATAATAGTACAAAGAATAATTATAATCCATATCACAGAGTACAGGTACGCATAAACTTTGTCTCCGAGATTCTTGGCTCTGAAATTGTAGAAGCACCAAGTTCCCGGATATTGTAGAACGTATTCACCGAACCCAATGATGGGAAGAAGTGAGATAAATGCCACAGTGACCCATATAGTCCCCAATATAATGTTCGTTCGCTTCTCTTTAGCTTCACTGTTATTGTAGAAGAACGGGAACCAAACTCCAATGAATCTCTCTGTCGACATGGTCCCGATAATCGAGGCTGATGCCAAGAAAACAAAGCTAATCATGTACCCGTTATAGTCACAGACTTGTTGACCACCCTGAAATTCCACATTGTTGGCGTACGTAGCCAGAAGTACTGGAAAACTTGTAATACTACCGAATAAGTCAGTGATGTTCAGTGACACCATTAGTCTGTAAAAAGCACTCCATTTATGGGACTTTGAGGACTTGATGATCATGATAAGAGCAGAAATGTTGAACAATAAGGCTAAAATAAACATAAGTACAATCATTCCAACATATCCTTTACTTTTATTCTCAGGATCCACTTCAGTGATATTGTCAGTGGTGTTGGTAAGAAATTCCATTGTTTTACTATCGTTTGCAGTGGCTACAGCTCTTTTGACGAATTCCACCATGCTGTGTATAATAACGTTCAATGTAGTCATGTCGTCACATGGTGGTCAGGTACACATGGTGCTCCAGGTAAAAAATTATAAAGTTGGAAAAACATATCAAATTACCATGAAAAGCATGTCGATAAAATAAAGATTGACACTTTTCCTTGACACAAACTTTCCTTTGACAGCCCAATTTTCTACACCAAAACACTTGAACGGTGTACTACAAACTACGCCGGCTGAATTTAATGAAATACCGCTTGTCGCCTTCAGCTAACGTGGGTTTAAATCAATATTTACAAGGAGGAAGAAGAATTTTTCGGTGCGACCTAAAGGGAAGTTTGACGCGGTTTAGGTTAACAGTGCGGGAAAAAGCAGTGAACCCTCTTTTAAAGATACATTTTATAAAATGGACACATGACTAATCCAGTGTCAACCTCTAACAAATCCGGCACACGTGAGTGTGTCTTTCTCTTCACTCAGTTCACCTTGTCGCCGGAATTCCCATAGAATGACATGCCCTACGAAGAAGGATACAATAATTAATTTAAGTAATTAGCTGTTTAAACAAACGTGATAAATGTAGCAAACATGACACAGCTTCAGCAAGTTTGTATCCTGGAAGCATAGAAATAACCCATAAATGTTGATTAGTTTTGTTTAAAAGTAAATTGAAAAAAATTACATTATTCAAAAATTAATTAGTCACTTAATAAACAACCCCCCAAAATATAATATCATACTTGCAACAAAGTAAAAACAAAAATAACCCACCTAAATTACATTATCATAAAGAAGAAATAAAAAATTCTGAAAATGCTGTTATCATAACATAAGTACATTTAGGAGCGATTAGTTCAGCAAACTCTGTAGAGTTTTGGATAAATTTACGTATCTTTTATAACTAGGATAATGATATCAGACCTTCAATTTAACAATGGACCCTTCCTATTTCCCCCCTCCTTTTATGTTGAGAAAAAAGGTTGGGCTTTTTATTTAGTAGATACTGACCTCTTTTCCCAACAGGAAAGATCTTGGATAAGTTCTTGCACATCTTGAGTATTGTGATGGTTGAACAATTTTAAAATTAATCTTTATTATGAAGCTTTCATGAGTCCCTGCATAATTAATTGTCCAAACAGAAATATTTAGACCACAATTGAATTTGTCGTTCGAAAAGACAAGTCCCCATTTTGCGCCACTCTTAGTTTAAAAATATCAACCTTCATGTCGACGCGATATATCCCAGTGAACTCAAAATAAGACACTACAGAGTCTGCCACATCTGTTTCATATTTGGATGTTTTACTGAGAAGAGACATTAATGGCCAACTAATAACAAAACTGTATGACAAATGAGATGATTTCAGCTTTTCCATCGACAACTTTCCATATTTGTGTAACATTCCACTCTCACCTGCATTTGGTGTTTATGTCTCTAAACTGATTCGATACGCAAGAGCATATGCTCTGAAAACGATTAATTTTTAAACCACTGACGAATAAGTTGATGTTACAAGGATTCAAACAGTCCCGTTTAAAGTTAGCTTTATAATGACCTTTTTTGTAAATTTAATCTATTGTTGGGCCGTATTTTGACTAAAATGTTTCATACCATTTGTTAGGTCATTGCTTTTATAGTAAATTCGACCTCGAAGTACTCCGTCTACCTAGTCAATACATAGGGATTACAGTGCGGCGTGTATGACCGGTCGACAGGGGATGCTTACTCCTCCTAGGCACCTGATCTACCTCTGGTGTTTCCAAGGGTCTTTGTACGATTAATTTTGCTTACTGGATTTATGAGATTGATCACTGTTCGATATTTTCACCTTTTACATCTTGAAGACTTTATACCGGTATAGACAAACTCTTTTAATGTTCACAGAAAAATAAGGGCAAGACAACCAAAAAAAAAAAAAAAATCTCAAAGAATTTAGCAATATCTACTTAATTAAGTAAGATGAAATGATACATGACGCTTAAAGTAACATATGCTATTGGAAACATTTTTAAACAAAGAAAAACAATGAAGATTATTGGTCATCTCTTTAACCTTTGTTAGATAACACGTGGTATGATTATACGGTTCAAAATCAGATTCATGTGATAATTTCTGAAACTTCCTTTTGTTATTTATCATTGTTAAGGTTGAGTATTCATTCACAAATACATATTACTTTGGAATATCCAGAGCACAAACTCTAATAAAATTATATCTTTTAAGCCGTTGTATCAAACACAGTGTTTAATAATGAATTATTATAATAATGATTGAGATTCAGACATCTTTTTTGTTTATTAACATTAAGCTATCGAAAATCTTACAACTTTCTGAATTTTATTTTTGAAAAAAAAAAATGAATAATTTATTCTTACATCCGCCAAAATAATTTTGGGTTAAAAAAATCGCTCACCTTTTGTATAGTTTAATTTGAAGTATTTAATTCCCAGTAACTGCAACATAGTTTATTTTGTGTATTTGATGCGGAAAAACCATTCTTACATAGGTGACATGCCTCAATCCTAGCTCAGCTTATCACTTAAATATACAAAGTGATGACAACCTGCATTTTTAAATAAAAGCTTGTCATTTAATTCTCTGACTTTGACTTTTAAAGGCTGAGGTTCGCATTTATTATTCAATTTGACTTTGTTACAGGAACTTCTATTATGTGCGTAGTCAGAAATCTCTGGCGAGACCGTAGCTCTACTGATTTGTACTTACAATAAAAGTAAAGAAAAGTAGCACTTGGAGTTGAAACTATGACGACAACAATAAATAAAATAACAATCTTGGTTTAGTTTCTTTGTGTGACAAGTTTTACTGCAAATCTTAAACTGTAGAAGAAGCCTTTTGAAAGAATTTAAACATTTCTATTGTAAGAACCATCGCAACGCTGTTCATTTATATAAAAAACCGGCATACATGTTTTTCAGTGTAGTCTACTTGTGTATCAAGTTATATCTAAAACGGACGAAAACTGCAGTAGTAGTGTTTTGAAATTCTTTCACAGAAATTTCTTCTTTAGTAACCAAGGCAACACTTTTAATTGTAATAAAAAACCGAAATAAATATTTATGTACCACAGTGTATTCTATTTGTCTTCAAAGAAATATTGAAATTGAACAAAGACTCTAGGAGGAGTAGTTTGGAAAACATTCACAGAAATGTCTATTTAGGTAACAATAGCAGCACAGTTCGTCAAAAATCGATATACAGAATTATTTCTCTTTACTGAAATCAAACCACTGTAAGAGTTTTGAGGCCTTTTACAGAAATTACTCTTTAAGTAACCATGACAACACTTTATTAAATTAAAAACCTGATATAGAGAATTTTTCATCTTTGTGTAGTTTACATGTGTACCTGGATTTATTGAAATCGAACCAAAACTGTAGAAGGAATAGCACTTTTAAAAAAATGTTTATAGACAACAGACAGATGGAGGGACGGACGAGTGACACCTTATTATCACATAAACTCTTCTGGTCTCTGACCAGTACAGTTTACACATGTGTGATGCGTAGAGATACTTATTCAGCTCAAATAATTTATCGACATCATCATCACTGGCATATAGTATATCAAGAAACAAAAAATGGACAATAATAAGACAGAATACATGAATTATCACATCAATAAACATGTAATTACTGCAATCATATTTGCATATTAGTTGTTTGGACGTCTTTCTTTTGTGATATTACGGTATTTCTTAAAAACATTACATAATCTTCTAGACATTTTGGCATTCCGAGGGCTAGTTATGTCAATTATAATTTTTTTTTTATAGATTTTTTATCATAACAAGGGCAATAAAGTAGAAAAAAATTATACATCTTTCAATAAATTATTTGCAAGAATGACGTGTTTCCTCTAGGAAGACGTGGTCTTTAGTTATATATATTTTTTCGATATGTATTGCATAAGTAATAGTTCAGTTGTTTTTTTTGGTATGAGTTGATCCTTAAGATTTCTTTAATGTCATGAAGGCAATTTTGCATTCCAATAATTTATCTGTTTATCACATTACTATAAAACGTTAGTAAAATAGAATCAAAGTTATGTTCATTCTTTGATTTTATTTTTTATTTTATTTTTTTTTTTTGAAGAACATGCATTTATTTTGGTCAGAATCTTGCACTGAATTGTGAATCCAAAAATAAAAAACAATATATATAAATATAAGTTTACCTGTTCTCGTCCAGACGGCCAGATGGGGTTGGGTATCCCCACAAGTCAATTTCTTTATCAAGAAAGAATCTTTCTTTTCACTACTAGTTCGCTTACCTTAATTTTGTGGTATAGAATCGTCTTTCACCTGTTCGTGTATTTTGACTTCGATACATGTATTTCTGCACATATGAGTATAAAGTAATTATCATCGTCATTGAAATTGTCATTGTCTTGTGATGATACGTCGATGAAAAGATAAGGTACAGGTAAGTACATGTGTACAATTAATCAACAATTTAACACCTGCTAAAGCGATTAATTAACATTCTAATTAACAGAACTCTCAATTAATCACGCTGTTTGTAACTTTCATTAATGACGTTTAAAACAACAATTATTAATTTTATTTGAAATTCTTAGTCATAAAAATTTGTGCTTTCAAATAAATGCTCTATTAACGCAATGACTGGGTAAAAAAGACACAAAACAAGAGGTATTCATTAATAAAGATAAATTTCACCTAAAATATTTCCACTCATATTCAACAATGTTTCCTGTTTTCATCATGAGTAGTTGCTTTGAACTACCATGTATACATAAACGTACAGGAAACTACACTTGTAATTAACATTAAAAGACAAGCAATTTTTTCCTCAATCTTTACACTCGTATATTGTAAGTTTAATTACTCCGTGTGAAAAGTATTATTGTATCAAAAGGAAACACTAGTGTCTACAAAAATATATTCGTATTTGCTATATATCATAGTAGATCATTTTTTATTTAATTGTATACACTATACAGCTGTGTCATTGTTTATCATTATACAAGGACATTCTCGTTTAATTATATCCTTTTACATTTTTTGCTTGTGTAATATTTAACATAGTAGTAATAATTAATTTATAACTATATAAATGTCAAATAAGGAAATCTAAATTTAGAGTTAATTGCATTTATGTTTAAAATTTCCGAGTTTAATATAGGTAAGCATATCTAAATGAAGATAATTACATTCTGATTCTAAATTTAAGATGTTAAATTCAAATTAATAAACTTTAACAAACCTTTCATAGCATAGACAGAAAGATTAAAAAAAGGAAATCATATAGTAAGCACAAAGTTTAACATAAAGACAGTCTCAGCAGTTAAATATGCCATTATAACTCGTTGTACTTATAGAAAAAATCTCAACACTTGATAGCATAAAGAGAAACTTCAGACGTACTGTGCTGCAG